AGTTTAATAAAGTTTAAAAGTTTAACAAAAAGTGTTTTAAAATGAGTTATTCTCTGGTGTTGATGTTTTATAGTTTAATAAAGTTTAAAAGTTTAACAAAAATTGTTTTAAAATGAGTTATTCTCTGGTGTTGATGTTTTATAGTTTAATAAAGTTTAAAAGTTTAACAAAAAGTGTTTTAAAATGAGTTATTCCATAGGTGGTGGCCATACGGAGGTCAACTCTCGGATACTGTCTGTAAGGTGCAATGAGAACCCACTTTATGTCATAAATAGAGAATACTACACTCATTCTCGTTAGATACCATTTTTACGAAACGAGTGGACTTTCTACATGATATCTGACCGAGCGAAAGCGAGGTCAGATACCACAGAAAGTTCACGAGTTTCGTAAAAATGGTATCTAACGAGAATGAGTATGGTATTTTATTTATTACCAACGTTAAATATATATTTAAGTGTAAATACATAACAACTTTCGTTCGTTGACAGACCAAACTGAAACCAGTTGCAAAATCTGGTTTGGCATGACAACCGTGATGAACAGCGTTTTACGCTAGAGATAGTGAATGTTATTGTTCACATTTGGGATATTTTAGGCAACATAATCAGAAATCAGGCACACTTCTACGCAGTTTTCGAATGGTTTGTTCACTTTGAGTGATGTGGTCGTGTAGTCGTGAACAAACAACTCCCGAAACAGTACCACACAATACGCTTCGAAGGGGACACTGATGGAACAACCGGATCATCACAAATAAGTCTAGATATCTGACCAGATAGATTAAACTGACTTCATTTCACCTTGCTTATCCCTTTACGTTAAATCAAATTGAAAGTTGCGAAAGTAGTCGGGTGCGTCACGCTCATGGGGACCCTCGATCTATTGATCGGCAGTCGAACATTGTAAATTGATATAGCTCGATTATATAATGTCCATAGAAGCTCTATGCACAACTTTCATAGAATGCAAACCGAATTTGATGCGTGTGACTATCTTGAATGAAAAAAGTAGTCCCGGTGTGACAGAGGTCACGGTTATAAAATCAAATCAAATCAAATCAATCAATAAAACAAGGTCAACCTTGTACGACACACGTGTGACTTGCGGATTTATAATCTTATCACATGTATCTACACCACGTGGGCAATAACTTGAGACTAGTTATTCGCTGGCGTTGATGTTTTATACAGTTTAAAAGTTTAACTGATACACTCGAAAGCTGTACTGTCACAGGACTCGTGACACATTAACAAGGAAGAGATTTGTAAACCAGGAAGTGAAGGATCTACTTGACGTCATGTCTGTATCGCCCATACTTGTCACAAGAGACGCCGGGCCATCAGGCAGCATCGGATATGAACACTAAGTCCTGAACATGATATTATAGCAAGAGTAGTTTGATATCATTTGATATGGTATAAATGTGGAACACTCGACAAGGAGAGTGGTAAGGATGGGGTGGTGTTTGAGAGGGATAAAGAGGCAAACGGGGCGAACGAAGGAGAGCGAGAGAGAGAGAGAGAGAGTGAGAGAGAGAGAGGGGGGGGGGGGGGGGGGGGGGGGGGGGGGGCGTGTGTGTGGGGGGGGGGGGAGTGAGGGGCGTGTGTATGTGGGGGGGGGCGTGTGTGTGGGGGGGGGGGGGGGCGTGTGTGTGTGTGTCCGTGTGTTTGAACGTGTGTGTGGTTGGGAACAACGTGTAGCGGCCATTACTGACAGTTAGTTCACTAAATTTAGGGATCAGTAGATCGTCTATTAATCTAGTTACATGCCATTCAGTGTGTACTCGCACCTGGTGCCTTAACACAGTGTGTACTTGGACCTGGTGCCTTAACACAGTGTGTACTCGGACCTGGTGCCTTAACACAGAGTGTACTCGGACCTGGTGCCTTAACACAGTGTGTACTTGGACCTGGTGCCTTAACACAGAGTGTACTCGGACCTTGTGCCTTAACACAGTGTGTACTTGAACCTGGTGCCTTAACACAGTGTGTACTTAGAACTGGAGCCTTAACACAGTGTGTACTCGGACCTGGTGCCTTAACACAGAGTGTACTCGGACCTGGTGCCTTAACACAGAGTGTACTCGGACCTGGTGCCTTAACATAGTGTGTAGTCGGACCTGGTGCCTTAACACAGTGTGTACTTGGACATGGTGCCTTAACACAGTGTGTACTCGGACCTGGTGCCTTAACACAGTGTATACTTGAACCTGGTGCCTTAACACAGTGTGTACTTAGACCTGGTGCCTTAACACAGAGTGTACTCGGACATGGTGCCTTAACACAGAGTGTACTCGGACCTGGTGCCTTAACATAGATTGTACTTGGACCTGGTGCCTTAACACAGTGTGTACTCGGGCCTGGTGCCTTAACACAGTGTGTACTTGGACCTGGTGCCTTAACACAGAGTGTACTCGGACCTGGTGCCTTAACACAGAGTTTACTTGCACCTGGTGCCTCAAAACACAGTGTGTACTTGGACCTGGTGCCTTAACTCAGAGTGTACTTGGACCTGGTGCCTTAACACAGTGTGTACTCGGACCTGGTGCCTTAACACAGTGTGTACTTGGACATGGTGCCTTAACAAAGAGTGTATTTGGACATGGTGCCTTAACACAGAGTGAACTCGGACCTGGTGCCTTAACACAGAGTGTACTCGGACATGGTGCCTTAACACAGAGTGAACTCGGACCTGGTGCCTTAACACAGAGTGTACTTAGACCTGGTGCCTTAACACAGAGTGTACTCGCACCTGGTGCCTTAATACAGTGTGTACTCGGACATGGTGCCTTAACACAGTGTGTACTTGGACATGGTGCCTTAACACAGTGTGTACTCGGACCTGGTGCCTTAACACAGTGTGTACTTGGACATGGTGCCTTAACACAGAGTGTACTCGGACCTGGTGCCTTAACGCAGAGTGTACTCGGACCTGGTGCCTTAACACAGTGTGTACTCTGACCTGGTGCCTTAACACAGAGTGTGTACTTGGACCTGGTGCCTTAACACACAGTGTGTACTCGGACCTGGTGCCTTAACACAGAATGTACTCGGACATGGTGCCTTAACACAGAGTGTATAATTGGGACTGTTGCCTTAACACAGAGTGTACTTGGACCTGGTGCCTTAACACAGAGTGTACGCGGACCTGGTGCCTTAACACAGAGTGTACGCGGACATGGTGCCTTAACACAGTGTGTACTTGGACCTGGTGCCTTAACACAGAGTGTACTCGGACATGGTGCCTTAACACAGAGTGTACTCGGACCTGGTGCCTTAACACAGTGTGTACTTGGACCTGGTGCCTTAACACAGATTGTACTTGGACCTGGTGCCTTAACACAGAGTGTACTTGGACCATGTGCCTTAACACACAGTGTACTCGGACCTGGTGCCTTAACACAGAGTGTACTCGGACCTGGTGCCTTAACACAGTGTGTACTCGGACCTGGTGCCTGAACACAGAGTGAACTCGGACCTGGTGCCTTAACACAGAGTGTACTTGGACCTGGTGCCTTAACACAAAAGTGTACTCGGACCTGGTGCCTTAACACAAAAGTGTACTCGGACCTGGTGCCTTAACACAGAGTGTACTCGGACATGGTGCCTTAACACAGAGTGTACTCAGACCTGGTGCCTTAACACAGTGTGTACTCGGACCTGGTGCCTTAACACAGAGTGTACTCGGACCTGGTGCCTTAACACAGAGTGTACTTGGACCTGGTGCCTTAACACAGAGTGTACTCGGACATGGTGCCTTAACACAGAGTGTACTCGCACCTGGTGCCTTAATACAGTGTGTACTCGGACATGGTGCCTTAACACAGTGTGTACGCGGACCTGGTGCCTTAACACAGAGCGTACGCGGACATGGTGCCTTAACACAGAGTGTACGCGGACCTGGTGCCTTAACACAGTGTGTACTTGGACCTGGTGCCTTAACACAGAATGTACTCGGACATGGTGCCTTAACACAGAGTGTATAATTGGGCCCGTTGCCTTAAACAGAGTGTACTTGGACCTGGTGCCTTAACACAGAGTGTACGCGGACCTGGTGCCTTAACACAGAGTGTACGCGGACATGGTGCCTTAACACAGTGTGTACTTGGACCTGGTGCCTTAACACAGAGTGTACTCGGACCTGGTACCTTTACACAGAGTGTACTCGGACCTGGTGCCTTAACACAGTGTGTACTTGGACCTGGTGCCTTAACACAGAGTGTACTTGGACCTGGTGCCTTAACACAGAGTGTACTTGGACCATGTGCCTTAACACAGTGTGTACTCGGACCTGGTGCCTTAACACAGAGTGTACTCGGACCTGGTGCCTTAACACAGAGTGTACTCGGACCTGGTGCCTTAACACAGTGTGTACTCGGACCTGGTGCCTGAACACAGAGTGAACTCGGACCTGGTGCCTTAACACAGAGTGTACTTGGACCTGGTGCCTTAACACAAAAGTGTACTCGGACCTGGTGCCTTAACACAAAAGTGTACTCGGACCTGGTGCCTTAACACAGAATGTACTCGGACATGGTGCCTTAACACAGAGTGTACTCAGACCTGGTGCCTTAACACAGTGTGTACTTGGACCTGGTGCCTTAACACAGAGTGTACTCGGACCTGGTGCCTTAACACAGAGTGTACTTGGACCTGGCGCCTTAACACAGAGTGTACTCGGACCTGGTGCCTTAACACAGAGTGTACTTGGACCTGGCGCCTTAACACAGAGTGTACTCGGACCTGGTGCCTTTACACAGAGTGTACGCGGACCTGGTGCCTTAACACAGAGTGTACTCGCACCTGGTGCCTTAATACGGTGTGTACTCGGACATGGTGCCTTAACACAGTGTGTACGCGGACCTGGTGCCTTAACACAGAGCGTACGCGGACATGGTGCCTTAACACAGAGTGTACGCGGACCTGGTGCCTTAACACAGTGTGTACTTGGACCTGGTGCTTTAACATGGTGACTTTATCCGAGTCTATAGTACTCACGTTCCTCCTCCTCCTCCTCCTCTTCTTCTTCCTCCATCTCGCATTCATCGTCAGTTTCCTCCTGAAGAGCGTCCCGGATGCAGTCGTGGATATAGATGTACTGACTCTGTGGGCACAGAAGGTCAACGTTACAGTGGAGCCGATTAGCTGTAACTGCACTGATGTAACTGAATGAGTGGGTCACATCACGGTGTGCTCAGTGTGGAATGAGAGGACATTCAAAGCCAACCAGCATGGGTATGGTGTCTGTAGACCAAGGATAATAATCTAGGTTCGAACTAAAGGTCAAAGGATCACGGCAAACCGTGACAACGAGTCCCTTGCTTAAATTCCCAAACAACTGTCGTTTGCGTTGTGTTCGGCGTGGTTTGCGTATACTTCAGCTGCTCATATATGTATCAGATCACTTGCTGCAAGTGAGTTATGGTATTGCGCGTTGGGTCAGGGCGGGGGGAGGGGGGGGGGGGGGGGGGGGGAGTGGGGGGAATTGGATGACCCTCCCAATGTCCTCGTACATATTTTTTCATGACCCTCCCCGAAAAGGCTAAATGCAAAAGCATTTTACATTTTATTATGAATTTGTCCTTTTTTCGTTTCATGACCCTCCCAAATATGTGTATTATTTTTAAAACCCTCCCCTACAGACTGTCATATTTTGGGTGACCCCCGATTCCTCTGATCCACCCCTCACAATAATATAGGACTGGCCCCCTTCAGTACCAGTTTGGAATAGACGTTCAACGCTTGGTTCTCCCTACTGTAGACGTCCTACCCACCTCTGTCTGGACCATGTGGGGTCGGTTGTTCCTCATCTGCAGCACGAGGCCAAAGATGTCCAACTCGCCGTAGTCTCGGATCTGTTGCAGCAAGACGTCCACGGCAATGAACGTGCCAGTTCGACCTACACCCGCACTGGAAGCAGAACAAGCTACCCGTAACAATCAGTGTTACATCACTTGAAACAGGGTTCCTTAGCGTCATTTTCTTTAGCAGGACGTTTCATAATGTACCTTTGTAATATTTTTAACTGCCATTTTCTACGCTGTAGAATGAACGAAGACACGTTTCACAAGCTAGCAAGCTTCGGTAAGGACGCTAATGCCTTTACTTAGAAATGACGCCTGATAAAGGTACTAGCGCCGGTAACCCTGCATGACATAGTACCCCAACTTTGTAAATGGATGCTCTTTATGTCAATCACTGGATTGTCAGGTCCAAACACGATTATTTACATACCGCTGGACTCTGCTGTGCTGTGTTAACCAACAAACAAACAGGCGCCTTTCCGAAAGGTCGCATTACCATATATACAATTTTAAAGAAGTTGAAAACAATGTCAACTTTGATACCTGTTTATGAATGCACGTTCTGTCTGCGATGCACGTGTTGACAGTCTTCCTACCCACACACATACCTGCAATGTACAACCGTTGGTCCCTCTTGGTTGTGGGGCATGTGCGCGCGCACCGCCGACACAAAGTTGAGAAGGAGGCATGTTCTCTCGGGACAGCCAAAGTCGGGCCACTTCAGGAAGTGGAAGTGACGTAGCACACGTCTTTTGTTACCCTGGTAACGACAAAAAAGTTAAATTTGACTCAAATTCAAATTGACTGAATATATCGTTCTGAGTACATTTTGTTTTTCTGCTACGATTAATAATAATCGTGATCTTTACATGTATGTCCTTATTTCGGGATAAAGGGCCAATTTAATCAAACGCAAAAAAACTCACGTAAAAGTCAGAACGAGGCTTATATGTGCACGCACCCAGTGTTTCTCTATGGGGTCACCTGTAAGTCGTGATTCACGTTGCACATGGGTGGATAGAAAAAGCAAATACGTTCTGGACATTTTATTTCTTGCAGTAATGAAAAGCATCGGCGAAAAAGTCGTCATTTTCGTGGAGACACCTGGTTGTTTCAGTTATTGGGTATGGGACGCCCGTCATTATCCCTGCGTAAACGTGAGAACAGGGGTAGTATTTAACGTTATCATTATGTCATAGTGAGAACGAGGCTAGTACCTGTCTGACGTCAAGTATCCGGATGACGTAGTCTGGTAGGACGGACTCTGAGCGGAGTTGCACTATGAGGTCCCCGAAGTACACAGGTTCAGAGTTGTCTGGCCAGTACTTCTCACACTTGATCTGGGAACATTTATACAGTAAACTACGTTTATAACGAGCACGCTTATAACGAACTGACGGATATGACGAACTTATTTTTTGGTCCCGGCCACTGGTGTATCTATGCTGTACATATGCTTATAACGAACTACGGTTATAACGAACTAAAATTAGTGGCCCCTTTGAGTTCGTTATAACCGTAGTTTACTGTACAGAAGTCACGTATACACAGATTTCAAGAATAAAGCTGGAATATTGCTTACGATGGCATCATTCACTCACTCACACCAGTAGGACTCATAGTCAACAGCACCATACATTACGATGATGAGGGACACGCGGCTGTGGAGCATGCACCACATGATCATCACGTGACGTGTTCTCACCCTGCCCTTCTCCTTGCATTGCGTCAACATGACGACCATGCTGATCCTCTGTTCCCAGATGAGTCTCCAGAAGTCATCCTTCGTGCTGGGCAGCGGGCCCTGGGCGGCGATGTACTCCCGCTTACAGTTGTAGCCCTGTCAATGTAGAGAACAGCGTTACGTTTTCAGTCCTGGGACCAGAAAGTGGCAGGACGAAGAGGAACAGTGCCTAGGATTTTGGTTGCCTTTTGCAAGACATTTGGAAACGAGACAAAAAAAATAGATGTGTGACCACACGCATTGACAGATGTTTTAAAAGAAATTATTTCGACATGGTGGGAAAAGTGAATCATTTTGGTTTAACGCCACCTAAAACAATTTGTTTGTTTGTCGTTTAACGCCGCAATATTCCAGATATTTGACGGCGGTCTGTATCTGGACCAGACAATCTAGTGATTGACATCATGGACATCGATCTACGCATTTGGGATACGATGACATGCATGAACCAGGTCAGCGAGCCTGACCACCCGATCCCGTTAGTCGCCTCTTAAAACAAACATGGTTTGCTGAAGACTCGGACTTTTCACGGGACACCTTAAACAATACGTCAGTTTTAACATTGTTTAGGTGGTTTAGGGGAACGAAACTAAAATTGATGAAGGGGCGGTGGTTCTGGTGCTTATAAGACCCAAGGGCCCAATTCGTGTAACTGAACTTGCCGTGATGAAGTTGGCGTTGATGTAGTCGGAGCCCTCCTCGTCGTCCTGGGACAACAGCTTCACCCTGGAGTGGTCATCTACACAGAAACAGGTGGTCAGATTGATGTGATTGGCTGCCAATGGGTTGGTCATCTCAGTGCAGAGAGAGTTATTATTATTTTTTGTTTGTTTGTTTGTTTGCATATGCATCTGTTTCCCGTTACATAGTTTGTATCAAATCATCATTCAAAAGAAAAATTCTTCAGAAATGTAGAAATTTCAAGATACTCATCTGCATGTACATGGATGCGAAGCAGGCCGTTAAACTCACATGGTAGGACGTTGGTGTATCTGTTCTTTGTACGGCACGCCTGCTGTTCTGCTGACTTTGTAGGATGCCGCCCACACACCTGCGCCACCATCTGTCAAACACGCCAGAGAGATTCGTCATAGGGTTCGTCATAGTGTTCGTCATAGAGATTAATAACTGAGATTCGTCATAGATAACATCGTGGAGATTCGTAATAGAGATTCGTTATAGGGTGAGTCATGAAGATTCGTTATAGGGCACATCGTGGAGATTCGTAATAGAGATTCATTATATGGTGAGTCATGTAGATTCGTTATAACTTTGAGGAGTACATAGCAGTAATTCGTCATAGGCATGTTTATGTGGGGCTCGTTAAAAGGATAGCTGTATGAGCTTCGACATATGTACTACAGCAATACATGTTTATCATTTAAGTTCGTCGGAGCAGTTTGTCAAAGAGCTTCATCATAGAGAAAGGTAAAAATCACACCTATTAATTCAAATGTCTCGTGAGTGTCAGGTCACTGTTAATTAAGCGTTGTAAACATTGGGACATAGACGTCAAAATGAAAAGTGCATCCAGACACCACAAAGGTGTAAGGTGGTGTTTTAATGTGGAGGTGCCTACCTTAAATTCCTCTGCAAAGCCGAGATTGGAGTCTCTGTGTAACTGTTCCACGTGGTCCGAGAAATTCTGCAGCTTCACAGGTCTGAAACACGTCACAATCCAACTATGAATGTTTTCGACACCGGTATGATTGTCGTTACATGAACATACAAACACTTATGAAATTGTCTATTGGGTTAACGTTTACATTTCACAACTTTTGAGATATAATCGAGCATGCTCTTTCTACCAGGACTTCAAAGAGCGTCATATAAATCTGGAAAGAAGTTGTTTGATCAAGGTTACAACTTTCTAGGCCTCAGTGAAGCTTTCAAAAAGTTTTATGGTAAACATGTGGAGGACACAGTGCGCATCAGTGACAAAAAGATTGACTTGCCTTTGCATGTGTTTGTGACGGGGCGGATGCCACCGGTAGTGCAGGACAAGCTCACCTTTTTGTGAACACTATTTGATTGTGATTCATAAACACATGCTCATGATATCGTACTCTCGATTCAGCTTTATGCAAAAAATTCTATCGAATATGGAAACTTTTTGGTCGCTTCATGTATATATCGCAATGGCGTGTGTTGACCAATCATATGCTAGGACACATACTGGTGATTGGTGTGCCCTGAGGTTCACTGTGTATGCCAGACATACCTTGACTTCTGGGACTGCGACACAATGCTCGCCTTCTTGGCTCCCAGCTCGATGGTCGCCGGGTCGAAGTGGACACTAGGGCGTACTGCGGTCCTGGAATAAAAATCAACGTAGTTGAAACTATGCATCATTCAATGTAGGTGAAACTATGCATCATTCAGTGGAGATGAAACTATGCATCATTCAGTGTAGATGAAACTGTGCATCTTTCAATGAAGGTGAAACTATGCATCATTCAGTGGAGATGAAACTATGCATCATTCAGTGTAGATGAAACTGTGCATCTTTCAATGAAGGTGAAACTATGCATCATTCAATGTAGGTGAAACTATGCATCATTCAATGTAGGTGAAACTATGCATCATTCAACGTAGTTGAAACTATGCATCATTCAATATAGGTGAAACTATGCATCATTCAGTGTAGATGAAACTATACATCATTCAATGTAGGTGAAACTATGCATCATTCAGTGGAGATGAAACTATGCATCATTCAGTGTAGATGAAACTATGCATCCTTCAACGTAGGTGAAACTGTGCATCATTCAATGTAGGTGAAACTATGCATCATTCAATGTAGGTGAAACTATGCATCATTCAATGTAGGTGAAACTATGCATCATTCAATGTAGGTGAAACTATGCATCTTTCAATGTAGGTGAAAGTGTGCATCACTCTCTGTTTGTGTGTTTGTTTTGTTATTTAACCCCGCATTTAGCAACATTCCAGCTATATGACGGCGGTCTGAAGACCAATTCTAACCCGGATCTCCACGGTCGCATCATTCTGTGAACGCTGCTAAGATGTTCAAGGGGGGCACTGGTGGCCCAGTCGTCTAAGGCGCCGCGATTCGCTGTGCAGAGTTGCGTCCCTTAGGCACGCCAGAAACCTATGATTGTGGGTTCGAATCCCGGTTCGCCCCAATTATGTTTCAAGGTTTGTCAGCACCATACCCGTGCTCGTGGGTTTCACCGAAGTGGCAAACGTCTGAGACCTGCATCACTTCGGGCTTTCCTCCCACATTAAGCTGACACGCCGTGGTATAACTGGAATAATGTTAAAAGCGGCGTTAAACCCAACTCACTCACTCACTCACTAAGATGTTCTAGGCTCTAGGATGATCCAGCCTTAGTGGGAGTGTACTGCATGCAAGTGTTTGGCCAATCCATGTGTCTCGTTGATGTTCTGAGGCAGAATACCTGCTCAGTGTCCATGTATTCAAACATGTCAATGTTTTTCTGTTTAGGCCCTGGAGCCCGTTCCCCAAAGTGATCGTAGCACTACGATTTTCGTAAGTCTATGTCAAAGTATTGGAATTACGTTCCTCATAGAGATAAGATCGCTTTGTGGAAGTGGGCCCTGGTCGAGTGATCTGGGATTTTTCCAGTTCGATCTCACTGCTGCCCACCTCCCGAATGATCTGACTGTACTGAAAGAGGACGACCAAGCCCAGTGCTCACTTCCGGCCCCCTTTCTTACCTCTTCCGCCACAGCTTGTACAGCACCGCGGCCAACAACGACGACAGGGTTATCAGCACGATGCCAGCAACCACTCCCACTATGTACGTGTTTGACTCCTCCTCCTCGCTCGCTGTAACACCAACACATCAACATGTACATGGGATAGTAAATAATAACAGTCCTACTTGAGTCATCTTCCCGAGGCAGAGGAGTTAACTGACTGAAGTCCAGTTTCCACCCTTGCGAACTAGGCTGGTATTATGGAGTTATGTTTTATGCCGGACCAACGAGTCTATGCACAGTCCAATTAAAATCGCACAACGAAATCGAAATCCGGCTCGTAAAACGTCGTGCAGATTTCGGTCGATTGCAGGATTTACAAAGCATGTGCACCGCCAACTCGTTGTCAACAGATATCTCCAAATCTTATCATGTTTTTAATCAAGGTGCTCGCGTGATTTGATGCACTTTGCGGTGTATGATCCGTTTTAACACAACATAGATATTGATTGTGAATCAGATTGTCTTGACTGGGCGCCGCCATTTTGTTTGAAGCAAATGGAAGTGAAACGAGAGGTGGAATCTGATTGGTCCAGAGGAGAGGCATAGAAGGGACATAACTCGTAATAGCCACTGGTGGCGCTACGATCGAGCCCAGGAATTCCAGCCTAGTTCGGAGAAGGGTGGAAACTGGACTTTTGTAGGCAGTTAACTCTCTTGCCTCGGGAAGATGACTTGAGTGGGAATTCAGGCGAATAACACACGTTTTAGGCAGTGCCATTTAAAAATCATATTGTTGAGATCACTCTAACATTGTACATACCTGTCTCAAGAACCACAGAGAGGTGTGTCTCGCTGCAGCCCGTGGCCGTGCATGCGAACACAACAAACCTGGAACACAGAGCCATTAAAAGTGAGCGAGTTGAATTTTATGCCGCAGCTTTGAACAGTATTTCAGTCATTTCAAGACGTGTCAGTTTAATATATAAGGAAAGCTTAAACTATTGCAGATCGTAGACGTTTTTTAAAATTTGAAATGAGTTAGAGAGAAACGAGCACCTATGTGGCCTTGTCAGATCAAGGTCATATTCAGAGGTTATGTATTATGAAGGTTGGATGGATTTGCTTTTCGAAAAGCAACATTTTAGATAGCGGAGGTATCTGTGTAGGTGCCTCCTATACTATACAACGAGAATGGAACGAGGTCCTAGGTATTCACCTGTTAAACGCATTGTGAAATACATATTACAGAACAACGATATCAAGCCCGAGCTATAGATGCAGTTACGGAGAGGTGCTCTGTACAGATTTGCAGCTAATCCAGTAAATTGTGACAAACACATACATGCCGTCCATTTAAACAGTAGTGTTAAATAAAGCGACAAAACCCTTTCCATATCAATTTGAAATCTTTGCATAAAGCAGAGGCGACAGTACCATTCCGACTATGTCTGAAGGTGTGTTTATGAATCACTATCAAATGGTAATGATACCAGGTGTTCGTGAACAGGAAGATTGTTTAGCATATGTCACGACAATGGTATTATACACATATGTTCCGTGCATTCTGACAGTGGTGTTAAGAATATATATACTTCTTATATATTATTAAGCACATCAATTACGTGTATTTATAATATGGTGATAAGCACATATGTCACGTGCAGTTAGACAGTGGTATTAAGCAAGATGTGACGAGCAGTTAAGAGGTGAGGTGAAAATTTAATGGGGTTTAACTTCGGGTCGAAGATTAGTGCACTTATATAGCGACGTGCATGCACGTGTATGTGTGTGTGTGGGTGGCTGTTTGTACTAGTTCGGAATGATGCCGATTTATAGTGCTAGCACACTGAGATAGCATGCCGCAGTTTAACATGAATATCCCACTCAGACACAGTATTCTGACTCCGAGACAACCAGTCCTTGTTTTAGCCCCTTAATGCCGAGCGCCAGACAAGGTAACAACAAGTACCATCTTTTAACGTCTTTTGGTATGAGGCGGCGGGGGATCAAACCCCGGACCTTCTGCTCCCCGGGCGGACGCTCTACCATTAGACCACGGGGGCGGTCTCGTATTAAGAATATATATGTGACGTGTATTTAGACAATGGTATTAAGCTGATATGTGACGTGCAGTGACATAGTGGTATTGTTATAATGAACATATATGTGACAACAGCCTTGTGTGCACATATACTGTCTATTATATAATACATGCAAAATGGCCGGTGGCGAGTGTGTACCTATACTTGCTGGCGGGCTTCAGGCGGTTGTTGCAGACATCGTTTCCGCACCGGCCATCTCCGATAATTACGTCTGGTGTCAAACAATACACAGTGTAACTTCACGACAACAATATACAGGGGAACATCACGACAAACAATATACAGGGGAATTCACGACAAACAATACACAGGGGAAACATCACGACAAACAATATACAGGGGAACATCACGACAAACAATATACAGGGGAATTCACGACAAACAATACACAGGGGAATTCACGACAAACAATACACAGGGGAACATCACGACAAACAATACACAGGGGAAACATCACGACAAACAATATACAGGGGAACATCACGACAAACAATACACAGGGGAATTCACGACAAACAATATACAGGGGAATTCACGACAAACAATATACAGGGGAACATCACGACAAACAATACACAGGGGAATTCACGACAAACAATATACAGGGGAACATCACGACAAACAATATACAGGGGAATTCACGACAAACAATATACAGGGGAATTCACGACAAACAATAAACAGGGGAACATCACGACAAACAATATACAGGGGAACATCACGACAAACAATATACAGGGGAATTCACGACAAACAATTTACAGTGGAACATCACGACAAACAATACACTGGACATTTTAAAGAGACTAACAAACCCCACGAAGCGATATTAACTCAATAAATGACCATCTGTCATTATTTTGTCTTGTTAATGTGGAACTAACGTAAAAAGGAAGTCAACAGGCCTAAGACATTTAACAACTTTGGTGAAACCCACGAACACGGGTAGGGTGCTGACAGATCTAGAAACGGGGCGAATCGGGATTCGAACTTACGATTACAGGTTCGGTTGTGCCCAAGGGAGGCAACTCTACACAGGAGGTGGTGCCTTAGACGACTGGGCCACCCGTTCCCCACGCATGAACTGTGATCCATATTAATAATTAGTGACGCCCCACACCACGCAACACAGTGTTATCACACACGGAGCAATACGGAGTTAATAAAGCCATTCAATGACAACACTGTTATTATCGAAAGTTGCAAAAAAATCTTTCAGTTACCATTATCCTGCCTGAAGTCACAGTGATCCACGGACTTGTTGATGACGATCTGGGACGGCAGGTAGCGGTGGAAATACCCATCTCTCAGTCCACGGTATCGTCCTTCAACCCAGAAACAAAGGATCTTTCAGGGACCTCGCCATTATACACAAACACCACCACGTACAACATGAACACCCCTACATAAACTGCAGGGCAGAGGAAAGAGTGCAACTATGTTTGATAGTGGCTAGAGTGAGTGAGTGAGTGAGTATGGTTTTACGCCGCTTTTAGCAATATTCCAGCAATATCACGGCGGGGGACACCAGAAATGGGCTTCACACATTGTACCCATGTCGGGAATCGAACCCGGGTCTTCGGCGTGACGAGCGAACGCTTTAACCACTAGGCTACCCGACCGCCCCGATAGTGGCTAGAAAACAAACAAACAAATGATGGTTATTCAATGGTGATGCACTTGTTTCGAACTGACGTTCGCAGTGTTTCGCCGACTGTGTTCAACCTAGTTAGGTTTTGATAACGTTTGTGTTATTTTGGTCAAATCCAATTTCCAAGTGTATACTTCCTTTTGCTTGAAGTTTAGTTGAAGATGTCGCCATGGTCACATTGAAAAATGTGGGCGTGATTGCACAACGCTGCCGGCAGTATCGCAGCAACATCACGCCGGCGGACACACTTTGAAGAAGGTGTGTGCTCCAATACTTGTTGCCACTTTCAGAATGAGTCTGGACATTGCAAGTCAATGCTCCTGTTACAGTAAGGCATTGTCACCATATGAATAGGTTAACCAGTATATGCTAGACTTATGAGCCAATGAGCAAGAGATCTCATAACGATGACTCGGGGCGGTCAGATAGCCTAGTGGTTATAGCGTTCGCTCGTCACGCCGAAGACCCGGTTTCGATTCCCGACATGGGTACAATGTGTGAAGCCCACTTCTGGTGTCCCCCGCCGTGACATTGCTGGAATATTGCTAAAAGCGGCGTAAAACCATACTCACTCACTCACACATAACGATGACTCACTACCTAATCATATATGATAACATATTACTCGAATATGTATCAGAGTAAACATAATTTTATTTATCACTTAACTTAAACTCTTTAAGCGCATAATGTTAATGAGGGACTGGCATGTTGGAATCAAGCCTTTAAAAACTACTTACGACAAAGTTTTAACGGTTATAACCCTCATACTCGCAAACACCTGAATTCTTAAAAATATATACGTCAATAACAACTTCACATGCTGCTTATTAAATTAATAACATCCAAAATAACTGTGGACAACTATACGAAATTAGTGATATCGTTCAGGGGAAGAATGTAACACAAGCACCGCCCATTATATATATCATCAGCCAATCAGGAAACAGTGGTCCTTTAGTGGGCGTGACCTGTGTGTATTTTCGGTCAATAGGAACATAAACGAAAATAAATTGTTTGGTAAGCGAATCAGTTGCCAGGGAAACACTGGCAATGTATTTAATTGCATGTGACCTTGACATTTTAAACTACACAATGGGCACAATACAACCTTTTAACATGAAGGGTGTGATAACAATCGTTACCATGGGGATATCGAGGTATTAAATGTAAAAAAACATAATTCGTCTGGAATTTCAGAAAATTACTATGTCTCACCTTGATATTGGTCTATGTTTCTGAGAACCACCACGCCCCAAACTCGCACCTTCCCATTGGAGCTGTTGCACACGTCACGTGGTACGATTATCGCGATCTGGCGCTTTGGGTCGTCGACTCGGCTGTTGGATGCCATGACCCTCCTTCCCATCTCTGGCGGAGCTGGTAGATAACAACCATAATACGTATATCATTCACAACATTATAACGATTTCATAATTTGATGAAGTGAGTGAGTGTATGGGTGAATTTGGTTTTACGCCACTTTTAGCAATATTCCAGCAATATCACGGCGGGGGACACCAGAAATGGGCTTCACACATTTTACCCATGTCGGGAATCAAACCCGGCTCTTCGGTGGGACGAGCGAACGCTTCAACCACTAGGCTAAACGACCGCCCCTTGAGTGAGTGACTGAGTGTGTGAGTGAGTGAGTGAGTTAAACGGTTTTTGTAAAGGTAGTTCAGTTTAATCACGGTTGCTGAACATTTGTTGGAAGGACAACCCAAAGTGATATTGGATGTATCAAGTCGTGAACCAAGGAACATCAAAATCAGTGTGAATATAGGATTCCAACCTATGAGCAGCGTATCCAGGCATGGCTAAGGTGCGCAACTCTGCACAGCATACGCGACGTTTTATACATATTACATGTATCTAAACTTAGATTATTCCTAACGGTTTTATAAACCATTTTGCATCGTTTATCCATGTGTGTATGTGTTTAGTTAGACGTTGGACATATTTGAACTTTGAACCATAGCGGTGTTCATAACACCCAGAAGCCATGAAGTCATGTGACCTTGTCGCGTGTAGGTCAGTAGGTAGCGTCCTTACCCCCTGGTCTTGTGGTCAACTGACGGCTCACCCGGCTGCCATTCCCTTTACTTGTAGAAGCAAACACCTGCAAATGTGGTAGAGACGGATATCATACGTGGATTCAAAATGGTCTTAACACATTATATAAAATAATATTATATAATAATAAATTGACATATTGTTGCAATGTGTAGGCATTTGCGATCCAGTTATAAAAAAGCTAGGGTAAAATAACGGGTTAAAAAAAAAATCAAAATTGAATTCGACCCAAAAAATTACCAGGGTGAAAAAAATTGCCGAAACAATGCAAACTTAAGGCCCAAAACACAGCTATGATACCCGTATCAAATGTATCACCATCGAATAACCATTACTTCTTTGTTTAATTTCTAGGCACCATTAAACATGGGTGTATACTTTAAAGATTATTTTCGTGTTTTTTATCGATCAAGATTTAAAGAAATTCCGGTTGGCGTAGCCCGATTTAGATGCAGTTCTCAAGATCTCCTTATTGAATCAGGTAGACACCGCAGAATTCAAAGAGAAGGCAGAATCTCTCAGCTGTGTTGTTTTAATAAAACATAAGATGAATGTAACTTTTTACTTGTATGTCCATTTTGACATTAAAACCAATTCATTAATGATTATTTTTTCAAAGATCCTCCTCAAGACTAAAAATTCCGTCACAATTAAAAACAATTCATTTTCCATTCCATGAGTGAGTGAGTTGGGTTTAACGCCGCTTTGAACATTATTCCAGTTATATCACGGCGTGTCGGCTTAATGTAGGAGGAAAGCGCGAAGTGACGCAGGCCTCAGACGTTTACCACTTCGGTGAAACCCACGAGCACGGGTATGGTGCTGACAAACCTAGAAACATAATCGGGGCGAACCGGGATTCGAACCCACAATGCATAGGTTTCTGGCGTGCCCAAGGGACGCAACTCTGCACAGAGAATCGCGGCGCATTAGACGACAGGGCCACCCGTGGCCCCTTCCATGCCCTGGATCTTAGAAAGCATGCACTTCCTTAAAGACTTGATGTAACAGTTATCATGGCTATTGATGTATATGCTATTGCATAATAAAAAAATATATGCATAAATATAAGATTGATTGATTATCGTGTTCCGTTAAGTTACTTTACACGAGAATTCAAACTCCAGGTATAGCACAAAGTGACACTGTAAATCTCCTCTGGATATACGACCACCAGCCCGTGTATGTCAGGGTTGTCATCCAGTGATGAGGAGGTACATCTGGCCACTCACCGTGATGTTGTAGCTGCACTCCGGCTGCACATCTCTATTTAACGTCAGCGTTGTCTTACTCATCTTCCACGACGATAATTTCTAAACATACGAGTTCAGTACGTTAATAATACTGGAGAATAGAATCTGGCTTTTCATAAATGGAAGTAATGGTAGCGGCAGCAGCAGTAGTAGTAGTCATAGTCGTAGTCGTAGTCGTAGTCGTAGTAGTAGTAGTAGTAGTAGCAGCAGGAGTAGTAGTCGTAGTAGTAGTAGTAGCAGCAGAAGTAGTGGTAGTAGTAGTAGTAGTAGTAGCAGCAGCAGGAGTAGTAGTAGTAGTAGTAGCAGCAGTAGTAGTGGTAGTAGTAGTAGTAGTAGTAGCAGCAGCAGGAGTGGTAGTAGTAGTAGCAGCAGTAGTGGTAGTAATAGTAGTAGTAGTAGTAGTAGTAGAAGTCGAAGTAGTAGTAGTAGAAGTAGTAGTAGCAGCAGTAGTAGTGGTAGTAGTAGTAGTAGTAGTAGTAGAAGTCGAAGTAGTAGTAGTAGTAGTAGTTGCAGCAGTAGTAGTGGTAGTAGTAGTAGTGGTAGTAGAAGTCGTAGTAGTAGTAGTAGTAGTAGTAGTAGTGGTAGTAGAAGTCGTACTAGTAGTAGTAGTAGAAGTCGTAGTAGTAGTAGTCGTAGCAGAAGTCGTAGTAGTAGTAGTAGAAGTAGAAGTAGAAGTCGAAGTAGTAGTAGTAGTAGTTGTAGCAGCAGCAGTAGTAGTGGTAGTAGTAGTAGTAGTAGTAGTAGAAGTCGTAGCAGTAGTAGTAGTAGTAGTACTTATAGTGGTAGTAGTAGTAGTAGTAGTAGTAGAAGTCGTAGTAGTAGTAGTAGTAGTAGTAGTAGTAGTAGAAGTCGTAGCAGTAGTAGTAGTAGTAGTACTTATAGTGGTAGTAGTAGTAGTAGTAGTAGTAGTAGTAGAAGTCGTAGTAGTAGTAGTAGTAGTCGTAGCAGTAGTAGTATTAGTAGTAGTAGCAGCAGTAGTAGTGGTAGTAAAAGTAGAAGTCGTAGTAGTAGTAGTAGTAGTAGTGGTAGTAGTAGTAGTAATGGTCGTAGTAGAAGTCGTAGTAGTAGTAGTAGTAGTAGTAGTAGTAGTAGAAGGAGTAGTAGCAGCAGCAGTAGTAGTGGTAGTAGTAGTAGTAGTAGTAGTAGAAGTCGTAGCAGTAGTAGTAGTAGTAGTACTTATAGTGGTAGTAGTAGTAGTAGTAGTAGTAGAAGTCGTAGTAGTAGTAGTAGTGGTAGTAGTAGTAGTAGTAGTAATGGTAGTAGTAGAAGTCGTAGTAGTAGTAGTAGTAGTAGTAGTAGAAGGAGTAGTAGCAGCAGCAGTAGTAGTAGAAGTCGTAGTAGTAGTAGTAGTAGAAGTCGTAGCAGTAGCAGTAGTAGTAGTAGCAGCAGGAGTAGTGGTAGTAGTAGTAGTAGTAGAAGTAGAAGTAGTCGTAGTAGTAGTAGTAGTAGTAGTAGTAGTGGTAGTAGTAGTAGAAGTAGTAGTAGTAGTAGAAGTCGTAGTAGTAGTAATGGTAGTAGTAGTAGTCGTAGTAGTAGTAGTAGTAGTAGTGGTAGTAGAAGTCGTAGTAGTAGTAGTAAAAGTAGTAGCAGTAGTAGAAGTCGTAGTAGTAGAAGTAGAAGTCGTAGTAGTAGTAGTAGTAGAAGTCGTAGCAGTAGTAGTAGTAGTAGCAGCAGTAGTGGTGGTAGTAGTAGTAGTAGTAAAAGTAGAAGTCGTAGTAGTAGAAGTCGTAGTAGTAGTGGTAGTAGTAGTAGTAGAAGTCGTAGTAGTAGTAATGGTAGTAGTAATGGTAGTAGTAGAAGTCGTAGTAGTAGTAGTAGTAGAAGGAGTAGTAGCAGCAGCAGTAGTAGTGGTAGTAGTAGTAGTAGTAGAAGTCGTAGCAGTAGTAGTAGTAGTAGTGCTTATAGTGGTAGTAGTATAGTAGTAGTAGAAGTCGTAGTAGTAGTAGAAGTCGTAGCAGTAGTAGTAGTAGTAGTAGTAGTAGTAGCAGCAGGAGTAGTGGTAGTAGTAGTAGTAGTAGAAGTAGAAGTCGTAGTAGTAGTAGTAGTAGTAGTGGTAGTAGTAGTAAAAGTAGTAGTAGTAGTAGTAGAAGTCGTAGTAGTAGTAATGGTAGTAGTAGTAGTCGTAGTAGTAGTAGTAGTAGTAGTAGTAGTGGTAGTAGAAGTCGTAGTAGTAGTAGTAGTAGTAGTAGCAGTAGTAGAAGTCGTAGTAGTAGTAGTAGTAGTAGAAGTAGTAGTAGAAGTAGTAGTAGTAGTACTAGTAGTAGTAGTAGTAGTAGAAGTCGTAGCAGTAGTAGTAGTAGTAGTAGTAGTAGTAGTAGTAGTAGTAGTAGTAGTAGTAATGGTAGTAGTAGTAGTCGTAGTAGTAGTAGTAGTAGTAGTAGTAGTGGTAGTAGAAGTCGTAGTAGTAGTAGTAGTAGTAGTAGCAGTAGTAGAAGTCGTAGTAGTAGTAGTAGTAGTAGTAGTAGTAGTAGAAGTCGTAGCAGTAGTACTAGTAGTAGTAGTAGTAGTAGAAGTCGTAGCAGTAGTAGTAGTAGTAGTAGTAGTAGTAGTAGTAGTAGTAGTAGTAGTTCTTGTTGCTGTCCTTGTTTACTTCTGGCGCAGACATCTGCTACCACGCCTATGTGTGTCAGTGTGTGGTCAGTAAATGACTACCTGTGATCTCATGCCAAATGCGTCCCAACACCTTTGACGTACAAACATAGACACATAAGGGACCAGTTCAAAAGTTCGATTTCGGATATAATTACTTAAGTTTAGGGGTGGGTGGTTAATGGCCCAGCAACCTTTCCATCCGACAACATCAACTTATCTGATTTATCATTGTTTCATGTAGTAACTAAACTAAACCGATCATTTTTTTCATTCTTATTCTGTTAGGAGTTGTCATCAAATACATCCAGTCTTTCCACAAGGTAGGGTTTTATCCTCACCAGCTATAGTGGTAAGTCCTTCAAGTGCACATCTTCCTAACAGTTTTACTAGATACCCTACTTTACACACCTGCCACAGTTTTACCAGATGACCTACTTTACATGTCACACCCTCAGTTTTACCAGATGACCTACTTTACATGTCACACCTCCTACAGTTTTACCTGATGACCTACTTTACATCTCACACCCCACAGTTTTACCATATGACCTGCTTTACATGTCACACCTCCAACAGTTTTACCAGATGACCTACTTTACATGTCACACCTCCAACAGTTTTACCATATGACCTGCTTTACATGTCACACCTCCAACAGTTTTACCAGATGACCTACTTTACATGTCACACCTCCTACAGTTTTACCTGATGACCTACTTTACATCTCACACCCCACAGTTTTACCATATGACCTGCTTTACATGTCACACCTCCAACAGTTTTACCAGATGACCTACTTTACATCTCACACCCCACAGTTTTACCATATGACCTGCTTTACATGTCACACCTCCAACAGTTTTACCAGATGACCTGCTTTACATGTCACGCCTACTTTACCATTCAAACATCAAAGTTTTACCACTTGGCATAATTTACAAGTCACACATCAGAGTTTTACCACTTGTCCTACTTTACAAGTCATACATCACAGTTTTACCACTTGGCCTACTTTACAAGTCATACATCACAGTTTTACCACTCTACCTACTTTACAAGTCACACATCAGAGTTTTACCACTTGGCCTACTTTACAAGTCACACATCACAGTTTTACCACTTGGCCTACTTTACAAGTCATACATCACAGTTTTACCACTCTCCCTACTTTACAAGTCACACATCAGAGTTTTACCACTTGGCCTACTTTACAAGTCACACATCACAGTTTTACCACTTGGCCTACTTTACAAGTCACACATCACAGTTTTACCACTTGGCCTACTTAACAAGTCATACATCACAGTTTTACCACTCTCCCTACTTTACAAGTCACACATCAGAGTTTTACCACTTGGCCTACTTTACAAGTCACACATCACAGTTTTACCGCTTTACAAGTCACACATCACAGTTTTACCACTTTGCAAGTCACACATCACAGTTTTACCACTTTACAAGTCACACATCACAGTTTTACCACTTTACAAGTCACACATCACAGTTTTACCACTTTTCAAGTCACACATCACAGTTTTACCACTCTGCCTACTTTACAAGTCACACATCACAGATTTACCGCTTTACAAGTCACACATCACAGATTTACCGCTCTGCCTACTTTACAAGTCACACATCACAGATTTACCGCTCTGCCTACTTTACAAGTCACACATCACAGATTTTCCGCTCTGCCTACTTTACAAGTCACACATCACAGATTTACCGCTCTGCCTACTTTACAAGTCACACATCACAGATTTACCGCTCTGCCTACTTTACAAGTCACACATCACAGATTTTCCGCTCTGCCTACTTTACAAGTCACACATCACAGATTTACCGCTCTGCCTACTTTACAAGTCACACATCACAGATTTACCGCTCTGCCTACTTTACAAGTCACACATCACATATTTACCGCTCTGCCTACTTTACAAGTCACACATCACAGATTTACCGCTCTGCCTACTTTACAAGTCACACATCACAGATTTACCGCTCTGCCTACTTTACAAGTCACACATCACAGATTTACCAGGCCGTCGTTGGTTCACTCACCCCCTGGCACTGCACGTGCACGGTGTATCCCCGGATCCTGCCGCGCCTCTCCCTCAGTGTCGGGGGCCTCCAGGTGATGGTCAGCGATCTCAAGTCGAGGATATTATTGACCCCCGTCACATTTAACTCAGTCACCGGTCCCGGAACTGTAACCCATGATACAAAATACAGAACACGCGGTACATGGCACATGATTCCTGGTAAATAACGACACATGGTACACAACACAAGGTACGTGACACATACGGCAATATAGCCGTATAATTATTTTTTGCAGTTATGGAGGCTACAGTACATGACTAAGATCATAATTTCGAAATTATTTATTAAAAGCGACAAAACCCTTTCCATATTCAACAGAAATATCTGCTAAAAGCATAGTCGATTGTAGGATTCCGACTATATCATGAGCTTGTGAATCACGTTCAAATCTTGATGATACCACGTGTTCGCGAAAAGGGGAGCGTATCCGGCCCAATTGACGGAATCCATCACAAACACATGCAAAGGCAAATACAGTAAAGTACGGTTATAACGAACTCAAAGGGACTATCAATGTGTAGATCAATGCTCATGATGTCAATCACTGAATTGTCTGGTACAGACTCGATTATGTACAGACCGCCGTCAAATAGCTGGAATATTGCTGAGTGCGGCGTTAAACAACAAACAAACAAATAAACAAGTGAACGCGTGAGCTTGGTATAGTGTAAACACCTCTCACCGTCTTCCTCCGTTGAGAAACTGACGTTGTTGGAGAGTTTTGTATCCTTCGTATTTTTCGCTCTCACTGTTGATGTGTAGTTCCAGTATGGCGTCAGACCAACCACAAGACAGTGTCGTTCTGGGCAAATTGAAGACAAAATGAAGTCAAGCGCAGAAATCACTGGTATTCCTTATTCGCTTTAAATATGAGAATCAATCATTATTGATTATTATCAATTGTTATCATCCCCGCTCACCCCACCCACCAGGACCAATCCCCTCACCCCACCCATCTCTATCATCCCATCCGCTTACCCCACCCAACTCCCTCGCCCATCCCCTTCACCCCATCTCCCTCAAACCCAGCCCACCCCGCCCATCCCCTTCACCCCACCTCCCTCATCCCTACCCGCCCATCCTTCACCCCACCCCCTCATCCCACCCAAACCCCTATCTCAACACCCCACCCATCCCCTTAACCCCACTTCCCTCATCCCACCCAAACCCCTCATTCCAAACCCCTCATTCCAAACCCCTCATTCCAACCCCTTCATCCCCACCCCCCTCATCCCAGGCCATCCCGCCCTTCCCGTTCACCCCACCTCCCTCATCCCACCCCGCCCATCCCCTTCACCCCATCCACCTCATCCCACCCCAACCCCCTATCTCATTACCCCACCCATCCGCTTCACCCCCAACCTTCCTCATCCCAGCCCATCCCCTTCACCCCACCCCACCCCTTCATCCCAGTCCACCCCTCATCCCACCCAACCCCTCATCTCATCACCCCGCCCATCCCCTTCACACCACCTCCCTCATCCCATCCCACCCCCTCATCTCATCCCCAATCCCCTTCACCCCAACCCCTCATCTCATCCCCCATCCCCTTCACCCCAACCCATCATCTCATCCCCCATCCCCTTCACCCCAACCCCTCATCCCAGCCCAACCCCTCATCTCATCACCCCACCCATCCCCTTCACCCCAACCCCTCATCGCATCACCCCACCCATCCCCTTCACCCCAACCCCTCATCCCAGCCCAACCCCTCATCTCATCACCCCACCCATCCCCTTCACCCCAACCCCTCATCGCATCACCCCACCCATCCCCTTCACCCCAACCCCTCATCCCAGCCCAACCCCTCATCTCATCACCCCACCCATCCCCTTCACCCCAACCCCTCATCGCATCACCCCACCCATCCCCTTCACCCCAACCCCTCATCCCAGCCCAACCCCTCATCTCATCAACCCACCCATCCCCTTCACCCCAACCCCTCATCCCAGCCCAACCCCTCATCTCATCAACCCACCCATCCCCTTCACAGCACCTACCTCATCCCAGCCCAACCCCTCATCTCATCAACCCACCCATCCCCTTCACCCCAACCCCTCATCCCAGCCCAACCCCTCATCTCATCACCTCACCCATCCCCTTCACCCCAACCCCTCATCCCAGCCCAACCCCTCATCTCATCAACCCACCCATCCCCTTCACACCACCTCCCTCATCCCAGCCCAACCCCTCATCTCATCACCCCACCCATCCCCTTCACCCCAACCCCTCATCCCAGCCCACTCCCTCATCTCATCACCCCACCCATCCCCTTCACCCCACCTCCCTCATCCCAGGCCAACCCTTTATCGCATCACCCCACCCATCCCCTTCACACCACCTCCCTCATCCCAGGCCAACCCTTTATCTCATCACCCCACCCATCCCCTTCACACCACCTCCCTCATCCCAGGCCAACCCCTCATCTCATCACCCCACCCATCCCCTTCACCCCACCTCCCTCATCCCAGCCCACCCCTTCATCTTATCCCCCCGCCATCCCCCACCCATCCCCTTCACCCCACCTCCTACATCCCAAACCATAAAAAAGCATGCAACTCTTACTGTCGCACTGTGTCTCCCACGCTGTGTGATTCTCGAGGTCCCGCGTGATGACGACATAGGAGGTGTTACCACGAGGGCGTCCTGCTATCGACCACTTGATGGTAGCATTTATTGTTCCGGCTTGTACGGAAACGTTCTCGGGCTGCCGAGGCTCTAGAACACACGAGCGAGTGAGTTACGTGGAACACCGCTCTTAACAGTACATGTATTCCAGTTATATCTAGGCGCGTCAGATCAATGCAGGAGATAATCTCGAAATCTCAGACGTTTACCACCTTGACGAAACTTACGAGCACTTGTATGGTGCTGACAAACCTAGAAACATAATCTTGACGAATCGGGATTCGAACCCTACAATCAAAGGTTACTGGCATGCCCAGGGGACGTAACTCTGCACTGCGAATTGCGGCGCCCTTGACGACTGGGCCACCAGTGCCCCAGGGCACATGAAGACTAGACTACGTCATACAACGGTACACGGTGGGTGTAAAATAATGTGGCAGAAGCAGAATCTACGCGCCATCATGATTCATACGAGGATATTGGGTTACTCACTTCCTTCCAGCGTCGTGAAGTTGATGGAGACGGCCTGCCCAGTGTGATTTCTCGTAACGGCAACGACATCGACAGCGTAGTACGTGAACGGTTGCAAGAGAGAAAAGGTAGCGGTTAGCCTCTTCTGGGACGTATTGAATCCGGACGACTCTCGCAGTGACCCCTGTGTATAAAAAGAAAGGTGTCAAAACTTCATTTTCTGTAATAAAAATATGAAAGGATGGTACAATGTGTCTGTCAGAACCGGTATCTCCGTCATACGTATCTTTCTCAAGACACACAGGGTGGCCGGATAGCCCAGATATTATAGCGATCGCTCGTCACTCCGAAGTCCCGAGTTCGATACCCCACATACAATCTGTGAATCCCATTTCTGGAGTCTCCCTGATGGAATAATGATAAATCCATTCACTCAATATATTCACTTTTATTCTCAAGCCATCCAGCTGTCACGCGAACAAATTATTTTAAAGGATATATGTTATTATCACCCACTAAAGCTTTCAACGACTTGTACAGATTGACAAGTCTGCACAGGAAGACGATTCTGTTGTATACACCCCAGGGAGCTGAGAATGATATCCAAATAACATGATAACCGGGGCATTAACAAGTCATACCTTTGATCTGGGTCCGATACTAAAGCCACATTGATGTTCATGACAACATTCACGTGCCTGTCTCGTCACATTCTACACAAAATGCACGTGCAACTGTTGACCACTACCTGTAATTGCCCGGAGCAGGGTGACCCGCAATCTATACAGGTGAGCTTCTTCATCTTGACCTGCCCGGTCGTCACGTCCTTCACGGTGATATTGTACGCCATGACTGTTCCATTGGCGTCAGGCGGGGATGTCCACGACACCATCATCGTCCGCGACTTCACGTTGGTAACTCTCAGGTGTTGCACAACGCTCGGGACTGCAGCACACACCGAATGTTACACATTTAATTCCGAGGATGCACGAAAGATGTCGAGTAATCGATGTCTTGTCTGGATTTGTATTTGGCAAATGTTACCGTTATCACACATTCTTTACAACTAATAAAAATCATAATGAAGACTAAACGGATTATATGATAAAAAGATTATTACACAATTTGAGTGAAATAGCTGGAATAGTGTTAAAAGCGGCGTTAATCCCAACTCATTCACTCACTTCAAAATTTGGTGTACTTGGTGACTTGATGGAGTGTTAATGTGTATTTGTGTCAAGGAGAAAGTCACTATTCAAATTATCAAATTAACTGCTTTAACTCTCCAAGGTGGAATGATAATAACAAGGCATTTCATCATACTTGTATATGGGGCGGTCGGGTAGCCTAGTGGTTAAAGCGTTCGCTCGTCACGCCGAAGACCCGGGTTCGATTCCCGACATGGGAACAATGTATGAAGCCCATTTCTGGTGTCCCCCGCCGTGATATTGCTAGAATATTGCTAAAAGCGGCGTAAAACCATACTCACTCACTCACTCACTCATAATTGTATGTAAAGCACATAACGGTTGCAAGGCAGCATTGTATTCCTTCAGACCAAGCAAACAGTCGACGTTCACCGTCCAAAGAAAAGGAGTTAAGAGTTATGTGTTAAAACATCTCAATATGATGAATAAAACAGTCACCGTTTCTTCTGGCTTTGGGTCTATGTAAAATATTACTTCGCCAAAATATGGAACCTTATTCTTTCCGTTTTGATTGGCTGCTTTATTCCGAAGTAATACAGTGATATACGGTTGACATGTTTTGCCGGAACACTGTATTCACTCACTCACTCACTCTGAATCCTCTGTACTTACCCCCAGCATCTGTGGCAACCTGGACAACACGTGACTCAGGTCCTAACCCGGCCCTGTTCCTACCTAGAACGGTCACGTTGTAACATGTGTCTGAAAAACATCAGTTAACTAACAGTAAAATCCATTTTGTTATGTAAACACTCGATATCATTTGTTACATGGTACATTATTGTTTATGTGTTGGGTGGCAGTGACACAATGCAGGCGTACCGTATTCTGCTTTTAGTCTGATTTCTGTATCCTTCGTACTGTTAGATTTCCCGTTGATGTTCACAACGTATGATACGTTTGGTGTAGCCGGTAGAGAATTCCACCTGATCGTTATCTGCTTGTCTCTGCTAGATACAGCCACACCTTCCACGCTATCCGGGCCTGAAATAACATATATCCAGTGAAGTGAGTGAGGGAATGTACGATGGCCCATAAGGGACATGGAGTCTGTTTTTCCATATTTTGATATTTCACTTACTTTTATCGTTACCTTTTGCAAATTAACACGATTTGTCTTACAAATATGTGATAAATCATGTGTAAAGAAGATATTGAATCGCTGAAAAGTGAAACGAAAATGTCAAAAACTAAAACGAAAATGTCAAAGAACAAAAACGAAAATGTCAAAAACTAAAATGAAAATGTCAAAAACAAAAGCAAAAATGTCAAAAACTATATTGAAAATATAGAAAACTATTTCCAATGCGGTAGAAATATTATCACCGCGGTGGAAATAGTTTTCTGTATTTTCATTTTAGTTTTTGACATTTTCGCTTTTGTTTTTGACATTTTCGTTTTGGTTTTTGACATTTCCATTTTAGTTTTTGACATTTTCGCTTCATATTTCAGCGACTCAATAGCTACTTGAAAGTACATTTTCCATGTTTTCGGTTGTTTTTATACATGATTTATGACATATTTGTATGACAAATTGTGTTAATTTGCAAAAGATTACGATAAAAGTAAGTGAACCATCAAAATATTGAAAAACAGAATCCATGTCCCTTATGGGCCACCGTAGGAATGAGATATTACGAAGCATGTTAAAACAAATATTCCACCCATATCACACTACAGGAGACACCATCAATAACCATCACGCATTCTATGTTTTGAATGTAACCCGGATTCTCGATGACGAGTGAACGCTTTGACCACTTGACTATCCTGAGGCTACGATAAACTAATTGAAGGCAAATATTATTTCGATGGAGAGTTTAACCAGGACAGTGTCAATCGGTAACCAGTTATAGGAACATAGTTAAACCCTCTCAATTCGGACATTGCCAATCGGTAACCAGTTATAGGAACAGTAAACCCCCTTAATCCGGACATTGTCATTCGTTAACCAGTTATATGAAACAGTTCACCCCCCTTAATCCGGACACTGTCGGTCGGTAACTAGTCATTGGTAACAGTTAAACCCCCTTTTTACGGATATTATCAGTCGGTATCAAGGTATCGGAAACAGTTAAACCCACTTAATCCGAATATTATCAATCGGCAACCAGTCATTGGAAAAGGTTAAACCCCCTTATTCCGGACATTATCAGTCGGTAACAACTGAAAGGAAACAGTTAAACCCGCTTATTCCGGATATTATCAGTCGGTAACCACTGATAGGAAACAGTTAAACCCCCTTATTCCGGATATTATCAGTCGGTAACCACTGATAGGAAACAGTTAAACCCCCTTATTCCGGATATTATCAGTCGGAAACCACTGATAGGAAACAGTTAAACCCCCTTATTCAAAGTATTATCAGTCGTTTTCCACTTATAGGAAACAGTTAAACCCCCTTAATCCGGACATTGTCGGTAACCAGTTGTATGAAGCTGTAAAACCCCTTTAATCCTTTAAACTGGTTACCGACCGACAATGTCCGGATTAACCCCCTTAATCCCGACATTGTCGGTCAGTAACCAGTTTTAGGAAACAATTAAACCCCCTTTATCTGGACACTGTCAGTCGGTAACAAGTTTTAGGAAACAGTTAAACACCCTTAATCCGGACATTGTCGGTAGGTAGCAAGTTCTAGGAAGATAGTTAAACCCCCTTAATCCGAGTATTGTGAGTCGGTAACTTCTTTTCTAATTTTTAATCATTTATAATTTTTTAAATGTGAAAGGGGAGGCTTTTTAGACGTGTAAAACATCAATCTGTCGCCTGTGGTGGGAAACGGATAATCCATGATTAATGCAGCTGGATAAACTGAATTTACCAACGATCATTTCTACGCTGTAATCAGATTCTACGTCCGTCTTGTGCACGTCGTCACATAGACATGTACTCACGTGTGGTGTATTGGATTGTGTTAGAGGCGAAGGTCCGTCCATCTTTCGTCGTTACAGTCACTTGTATGTTGTAGTCCGTTCCAGGTCTCAGAGAGTATAATGTGGCGTTATCCGTGGTAGCATCAACGCTTAGACGTCCATAATATGTGACGTTGACGTCCATGACGTCACTGGAGCGTGCAATTGACCACCTCACCACGGCAGTTGTGTAGCTGAGGAATGTTGCCGTGATGTTTTGGGGAGTCACCTGTAACGCTGTAAATATAAATTGTCGATACAAGTGAATAACCAGTCTAGATCATCCGAAACAGATTAAATATTGTCGGAAAGGTCAAAATAGATTTGAAAATTATATGAATGGACCACTGAAAATCAGTGATGACTCAAGGTGGTCGGAAAAAAGTAAAACACATGTGTTCATTGTGTAAGAGATGGGTGCAACCTGTATATCAGAACACCTGGTGCTCTTGACGGTTTATATTTACATTCAGTGTACTGTGCACACGTGAGCGAGTGAGTCTGGTTTTACGCCGCTCTTGACATTATAACTAGACAACTTAAGAGGAGAAACGTCCACAGTAGCGTATGTCATGGACGCTGATAAAACTCCGAATATATTCGAGGTTCAAGGGTTTCCGAACCGACAAACACTGTATCCTGGCCACACATCCACAGCCGAGGGTAACAAATGTGTTACGCTATACTCTTGATAGGGTGGGCAGCCTCCGTGGTCTTGTGGTAGAGCGTCCGCCCGGAGAGCGGAAGGTCCGGGGTTTGATCCCCGGCCGCGTCATACCAAAAGACGTTAAAAGATGGTACTTGTTGTTACCCTGTCTGGCGCTCGGCATTAAGGGGCTAAAACAAGGACTGGTCGGCTCGGAGTCAGTATACTGTGTCTGAGTGGGGTATTCATGTTAAACTGCGGCATGGTATCTCAGTGAGCTAGCACTAAAAATCGGCATCAGTCCGGACTAGTACAAGCAGCCACACACGCACACACACACACGTGCATGCACGTCGCTATATAAGTGCAATAATCTTGGACGCGACGTTAAACCCAATTTCACCTCACCTTGATAGGGTTGCCGTTAAGGGAGGTTACTCCCAGTTGACGTTTCGAGGTGACGTGAAACCGGGATTAACGTGGCGTCCAAGATTATTGCATTTATATAGCGACGTGCATGCACGTGTGTGTTTGGCTGCTTGTACTACTGATGCCGATTTATATTTACCCCACTCAGACACAGTATACTGACTTCGAGCCAACCAGTCCTTGTTTTAGCCCCTTAATGCCGAGCACCAGACAAGGTAACAACAAGTACCATCTTTCAACGTCTTTTGGTAAGAGGCGGTCGGGGATCGAACCCCGGACCTTCCGCTCTCCGGGCGGACGCTCTACCATTAGACCACGGAGGCGGTGTTGACGTTTCGAGATGGAAGGAGTGTGTTGTATTTCAACATATTTTCAGTTTGTGTCACGAAGTGTCAGTTGAATGTGGGCGAAACCTCAACAGTGACGCAAATCCATAGTTTATCTCTTTGAATACCTTGAGCACGGTATGGTACTGACAAACCAAGGATTTGAACTTATGACTATTGGATGCTGGTAGCCAAGGGGCGTAACTATGTTCTCTGGGCTTCGACATGGACGTATTTCAGAACTGTTGTGACAAACTAAGGCCTGACGGTGCTGGTAAATGTAATTTATATTTCTGTTTCGTCATACTCACCAGAGACACATGACTGGTCCGACTGATAGAATTTGGCACTACACTGGCAAGTATTGACACAGTGAGCATTCGGAATGTGGTTACAACTGTCTTTGTGACTGCATGGAGAACCAAGAGTAGGTGGAGGAGTTGTCGTAGTCGGTGGTAGGGTTGTGGGTATGGTGGTAGGGGTGGTTGTCGTTGTTGTTGTTGTTGTTGTTGTTGTTGTTGTTGTTGTTGATGTAGTGGTAGTTGTTGATGTAGACGTGGTCGTTGACGATGTGGTTGAGGAGGGTGACGTTTGTGGGAGGGTGACATCGTCACCTGTTGTAGATGCACTCTGATCAAAGGCGGATGCTGTAGTGGGCACAGGCGGTGTGGACGTAGATGGAGACGTGAATGGAGACGGTGAAGTAACAGGAGCGTCTGAAGCAGATGGGGGTACTGTCTGCATACCCTGCTGCACTGTTACCGTGTTTGTTGTAGAAGAATCCCCCGTAAACTCAGTCGAACTACTATATGTCGAATCAGTCTTAGTCGATGTGGCAGTTGCAGTTGTTGACGATTCCGACGCCGTGCCCTGATCCTGGGACGTCTCTTCCTCGTGACCAGTCACCCCCTCTGATGTCATTTGTTTATCAAAAGGATCAGTCGACTTCTGTGTGGTGCCGCGAGTAGTTATCTCCCCTGCACTACCGCTTGTTACAGTTGACCTCGTCGAAGAGGACATTTGACTTGGGGCAGAAAATGTCGTCGCACCGTCGTCCCGTATCGACATCTTCGACACCGCACTACCTGGTAGAACATTCTGTTGAGTAGAGGTGTCTCCAAAGGGCGTTGACCCCTCCCATAGGGACGGCATACTTTGGGTTATCTCCCCTGATCCTTCGTGGGCAAGGTTGGTAGTGTCCGCGCTATCTGACGCATCTGTTTGCTGAATATAACAACAACATATCTCATCAGCATGGCATCAGAGAAAATAGAAACAATACATAGGACAAAAGAGAGATTTGATGGTTTTTGCTCTCGTCACTTGCAACTGCATAACTGCTTATTTATCATCATCATCATCATCATTATTATTACTATTATTATCATTATTACTTTATTATTATTATTATTATTATTATTATTATTATTATTATTATTATTATTATTATTAACAACAACTGACCAGGTCGGAGGTTCCATCCCACACAATGACGGTTGTGTTCTGCTCACTGCTGGACACCTGTAGACAAGAGGAGGACATGTTATTGGTCTAGTTTACTCATATAAGAATGGTATCGTGCAATTATATTTCAATCTCATGCTGACTGGCCAGTGCATGTCAACTGTTCCATTGTCTACAGTGTTTGCGACGCGGTCCGTAGCAATATGGCATCATATCAACAACCAATTGTCGCAAATAATTCCAGATGACCCCAGATGGTTGTTCACTCATTTAACACTGAAAATAATTGATTCCAGCCATCTGGATTTATTTATTGTTTAGTTGTGTGTGATGCCTCCCTCATCAAGGTGACGTCATTGTGAATTGAGGCCCAGAAAACTGATAGAACATATGCTTTCAAATCTAGTGAGATATACATGGCCATAGAAAAAGACGATATCAAATCTAGTGAGATATGAATGGCCATAGAAAAAGACGATATCAAATCTAGTGAGATATGAGTGGCCATAGAAAAAGACGTTTTCAAATTTAGTGAGATATGAAGGGCCATAGAAAAAGACGTTTTCAAATCTAGTGAGATATGAAGGGCAATAGGAAAAGACGATATCAAATCTAGTGAGATATGAGTGGCCATAGAAAAAGACGTTTTCAAATCTAGTGAGATATGAAGGGCCATAGGAAAAGACGATATAAAATCTTGTTAGATATTGCTATAGCAAATCTAGTGTGATATGGCCAAATAAAAAGACAATATCAAATTCAGTGAGATATGAATGGCCATAGAAAAAGACGATATCAAATCTAGTGAGGTATGAGTGGCCACTGAAAAAGACATTATCAAATCTAGTGTAACATGAATGGCCTTAGAAAAAGGCAATATCAAATCTAGTGAGATATGAATGGCCATAGAAAAAGACGTTTCCAAATCTAGTGAGATATTGCTATAGAAAATGACGATATCAAATCTAGTGAGATATGGCCATAGAAAAAGACATCATCAAATCTTGTGAGATATGAAAGGCCAGAGAAAAAGACGATATCAACTCTAGTGAGATATGAATGACCATAGAAAAGGACGTTTTCAAATCTAGTGAGATATGAACTGCCTAAGAAAAAGACGATATCAAATCTAGTGAGATATGGCCATAGAAAAAGACGATATCAAATCTAGTGAGAACAACATAGCCATAGAAAAAGACATCATCAAATCTAGTGAGATATGCACTGCCATAGGAAATGAAATCATCAAGTGTGATATGCATGGCCATAGAAAATGACGATATCAAAACTAGTGAGATATGGCTATAGAAAAAGACGATATCAAATCTAGTTAGATATGCACTGCCTTCGAAAAAGACTATATCAAATCTAGTGAAATATGCATGGCCATAGAAAAAGACGATATCAAATCTAGTGAGATATGGATGGCCATAGAAAAAGACGATATCAAATCTAGTGAGATATACATGGCTATAGAAAATGACGATATCAAATCTAGTGAGATATGGCCATAGAAAAAGACATTATCAAATCTTGTGAGATATGAATGGCCATAGAAAAAGACGTTTTCAAATTAAGTGAGATATGCACTGCCATGGAAAAAGACGTTATCAAATTCAGTGAGATATGAATGGCCATAGAAAAAGACGATATCAAATCTAGTGAGATTTGAATGGCCATAAAAAAAGACGATATCAAAACTAGAGGGATATGAATGGCCATAGAAAAAGACATTATCAAATCTAGTGATATATGAATGGCCATAGAAAAGGCAATATCAAATCCAGTGAGATATGAATGGCCATAGAAAAAGACATTATCAAATCTAGTGAGATATGGCCATTGAAAAAGACATGATCAAATCTTGTGAGATATGCATGGCCATAGAAAAAGACGATATCAAATCTAGTGAGAACAACATAGCCATAGAAAAAGACATCATCAAATCTAGTGAGATATGCACTGCCATAGGAAATGACATCATCCAATCTAGTGAGATATGCATGGCCATGGGAAAAGACGATATCAAATCTAGTGAAATATGCATCGCCATAGAAAAAGACGATATCAAATCTAGTGAGATATGAATGGCCATAGAAAATGACATTATCAAATCTAGTGAGATATGAATGGCCATAGAAAAAGACGTTTCCAAATCTAGTGAGATATGGCTATAGAAAATGACGATATCAAATCTAGTGAGATATGGCCATAGAAAAAGACATTATCAAATCTAGTGTAACATGAATGGCCGTAGAAAATGGCAATATCAAATCTAGTGAGATATGCATGGCCATAGAAAAAGACGATATTAAATCTAGTGAGATATGGATGGCCATAGAAAAAGACGATATCAAATCTAGTGAGATGTGCACTGCCATAGAAAAAGACGATATCAAATGTAGTGGGTTATGAATGGCCATAGAAAAAGACAATATCAAATCTAGTGAGATATGCATGGCCATAGAAAAAAACGATATTAAATCTAGTGAGATATGGATGGCCATAGAAAAAGACGATATCAAATCTATTTAGAAAAACATAGCCATAGAAAAAGACGATATCAAATCTAGTTAGATATGAATGGCCATAGAAAGAGACGATATCAAATCTAGTGAGATATGGCCATAGAAAAAGACATTATCAAATCTTGTGAGATATGCATGGCCATAGAAAAGGATGATATCAAATCTAGTGAGATGTGCACTGCTGTAGAAAAAGACGATATCAAATCTAGTGAGATATGCATGGCCATAGAAAAAGACGATACCAAATTTAGTAAGATATGCACTGCCGTAGAAAAAGACGATATCAAATCTAGTGAGATATGCACTGCCATAGAAAAAGACGATAACAAATCTAGTGATACATGCAATGCTATAAAAAAAATAGACGATATCAAGGGTAGTGAAATATGTTTGATCAAAGCAACAGACGTTGTCAACGGTAGTGAGATATGTTTGATCACAGCAACAAATGTCATCAATTCTCGCGAGATATGCATGACCCTAACCACATACGTTATCAAGGGTAGTGTGACATGACTTGCATATCCACAAAAACTGATATAATGATGTGTGCATGGCCATATGCGACGTTGCCACGTTGATTGCCATATGCATGGCCATAGAAAAAGACGATATCAAATTTAGTGAGATATGCACTGCCGTAGAAAAAGACGATATCAAATCTAGTGAGATAGCACTGCTATAGAAAAAGACATTATCAAATCTAGTGAGATAGCACTGCTATAGAAAAAGACATTATCAAATCTAGTGAGATATGCATGGCCATAGAAAAAGACGATATCAAATCTAGTGAGATATGGCCATAGTAAAAGACATTATCAAATCTTTTGAGATATGAATTGCCATAGAAAAGATGATATCAAATCTAGTGAGATATGCATGGCTATAGAAAAAGACGATATTTAATTTAGTGAGATATGCACTGCCGTAGAAAAAGACGATATCAAATCTAGTGAGACATGCACTTCTATAGAAAAAGACATTATCAAATCTAGTGATATATGCATGGCCATAGAAAAAGACGATATCAAATCTAGTGAGATATGGCCATAGCAAAAGACATTATCAAATCTTGTGAGATATGAATTGCCATAGAAAAAGATGATATCAAATCTAGTGAGATATGCATTGCCATCGAAAAAGACGTTATCAAATTTAGTGAGATATGAATGGCCATAGAAAAAGACGATATCAAATCTAATGAGATATGAATGGCCATAGAAAACACGATATTAAATTTAGTGAAATCTGACTGGCCCATAGAAAAAAACGATATCAAATCTAGTGAGATATGCACTGCCATAGAAAAAGACGATAACAAATCTAGTGATACATGCAATGCTATAAAAAAAATAGACGATATCAAGGGTAGTGAAATATGTTTGATCAAAGCAACAGACGTTGTCAACGGTAGTGAGATATGTTTGATCACAGCAACAAATGTCATCAATTCTCGCGAGATATGCATGACCCTAACCACATACGTTATCAAGGGTAGTGTGACATGACTTGCATATCCACAAAAAACAGATGTCATGAAAAATAAGGATGTGTGCATGGCCATAGGGACAGACGTTGCCACGTTTATTGACATATGCCTGGCCAAATTATGAATTATTAATACAATAACGCCTTACTTCTGATGTGGTTAACAAACTAAATCTATATCACACTGTGAGATTACAGATACGCAAAACCCGATGAACGTGTGTCATAACAGCATAATTGAATTATGTAAAATTCTCAATGCGTGTTAACTGAAGGTTACCAGGCTGATTTCAGTGGTCCCTTTCAACAGATACCCACACAAATACAATTGTCCAAACGTTCTCCATTTGGAAACGGCCATAGGACGATCCCTGTATCTCCAGGTGAAATCAACACTAAGTCTTGGCCCTCAGTAATCATTAAAACAACCGATTATGGTAAGTGATAGGCAAGTACTAAACGGGTTTCACACTCTTGGCCGACGCGAGTCTGGTGATGGATACTGTTGGCTACAGTAATAGCAGGATATATGACACAACAGTCTTCTCTTAATTCAGTGAGACTAAGGGGCCGACAACTTGATGGTTCACAAAATAATCTGTTCCTACAAATGTTTGGCTCTCCTTTAAGAGAAAAAATGCTTTTAAGTGTTTACTCAAACAAAAAAACGTATACCAGGGTATAATGCTTCTGGGATCCAACGGCAAGCATGGCAGACTAGGGCCATCCTGGTTTGACAGTCCAATGTGGAGACAAGCATGAGATACTTGGGAATTCTGTTCCGGATCCAACGGGAAGACAAGCATAAGATACTGTGGAGTTCTGTTCCGGATCCAACGGGAAGACAAGCATGGCTAACTATTGCCACTCTGGTTCGGCAGTTCAATGTGGAGACACGCATGAGATACTGGGGAATTCTGTCCCGGATCCAACGGGAAGACAAGCATGGCTAACTATTGCCACTCTGGTTCGGCAGTTCAATGTGGAGACACGCATGAGATACTGGGGAATTCTGTCCCGGATCCAACGGGAAGACAAGTATGGCATACTAGGGCCATCTTGGTTTTGCAGTGCAATGTGGAGACAAGCATGAGATACTGGGGAATTCTGTTCCGGATCCAACGGGAAGACAAGCATGGCACACTAGGGTCATTCTGGTTTGGCAGTCCAATGTGGAGACAATCATGAGATACTGGGGAATTCTGTCCCGGATCCAACGGGAAGACAAGTATGGCATACTAGGGCCATCTTGGTTTTGCAGTGCAATGTGGAGACAAGCATGAGATACCGGGCAGCGTATTAGCGGAAAGACAAGCTTGGGGGTAACGGTTCGCGGGGAGGAATTCAGTTCTGGAAACACTACGGGTAGAAAAACGTGGTGATTGGAGACACCCCGCCATGGGGAGACAACATGATGATCTACGGGAATACAGAGTATGGCAAAATAACACTGAACCTTAAAGGTGATAACAGTGACCGATTTATATTCAGTCATAATGCGTAGCACTTGTTGAATAAGATTTAAGTGACGCACTTATCGAAATTATACCGAACTTTGATCGTCGGAAGGGAAGGGAAGGGAAGTCTTATTGCTTGTCATGTCAGTCGGGCGGATATTTACTTCCCGAGACGCGATGACAATAAAATAAACAATCCCACGGACACCCCCTTGTATGCAATATCGCTAAACTTTCACCTAAGATATTTCATGTCTTTGAAAGGTATTTATAAGTAATACACATAAGGAAGAAATGAAGAAGTAAGTATTTACTCCGCAACGTTGTGTTCCTTACAATAAAGAAGTGACATCCATAAATTCTCTTCCTTAAGATATTTCAATTATGAAATACATTTCACGAAATACAACCTAAACATTTGTACTCTATTGGTTAACAATAGGGCAGTAGCTGTATATATTAGACTCTTGTAGACAAATATTGTTGATAGATGTCCCGGATGTAGTACAGGAGAACCTTCTCTGTCAACACGATTCTAAGTATTGAGAATATGAGGGTAGTTTTATTTATTAAACTAATAAATATCGACGTAACTCGTCTAACAGACAAAGGGGCTGACTAATGTAAGTCAATAACGGGTATACTCACATTATTTATGAAGATCAGGAGAAACAAGGCTGTAACATGCGTGTTTCTCATGTCGGCAGTAACACGGCCGTAGGCGCTCTGGCCCTGCCGAAGTCAATGCCTGAAGCACTTACATCCGCTGCCGTGACGTCACACCGGATGCCCGCATCTACATCGGCTCACACTTCGGCGACATTGAGCCGTCACTTCGACAATCTCCGTGACGTCACACAGGATGTGTATGCACTGAACTGCAATACAAGTTAAAGATCTTTTCGGCCACCTGCGAACCAGGAGCGTGAAGAAAGGATGGAAGATCAGATCTGAGCAAAAGACTTCAGTGAAACGTCTGTTCTATCCATGTAACGTTGCTGAATTCGCGCACAGAGAAGTAACATAAGTGAAGTTCACGATGCACATTTCAAGTAGGAGCTGTTTTTATCCAAAACAGCATCACGTGATTTCCGTCAGTTCATGGCAAGGGAAGTAAATCTACACCTTGTTTTGAGTTCGTCAAGAGCGGGTCTCGAGTCATTCACGTCTTCCTGTGGACGGTGTCTAGTTGCGCTGTCCACACTCAACACCGTCAACACAAATCCATGTGTTTCACCGACCATGTCGTATAGACACTAGACTGAAACACGGATGTTCTGCCAAGCTGGTACCTTCCTGGTAGATATGCGTCTGATGTTTTGTGAATGTCTATCTGTGGAGCTACTGTCATGATTGTGGAAGCGTGTCTCATTTTGTATAGCTATGTCTTCGTCATGTGTGACTCCTGTCTCGTGCATCGGGCATCTGTGACTCCTGTCTCGTGTATCGGGCATGTGTGACTCCTGTCTCGTGTATCGGGCATGTGTGACTCCTGTCTCGTGTATCGGGCATGTGTGACTCCTGTCTCGTGAATCGGGCATGTGTGACTCCTGTCTCGTGTATCGGGCATGTGTGACTCCTGTCTCGTGTATCGGGCATGTGTGACTCCTGTCTCGTGTATCGGGCATGTGTGACTCCTGTCTCGTGTATTGAGCACGTGTGACTCCTGTCTCGTGTATCGGGCATGTGTGACTCCTGTCTCGTGTATCGGGCATGTGTGACTCCTGTCTCGTGTATTGAGCACGTGTGGCCCCTGTCTTCGTGTATCGGGCATGTGTGACTCCGGTCTCGTGTATTGAGCACGTGTGGCTCCTGTCTCGTCTATTGAGCACGTGTGGCTCCTGTCTCGTGTATCGGGCATGTGTGACTCCTGTCTCGTGTATCGGGCATGTGTGACTCCGGTCTCGTGTATTGAGCACGTGTGGCTCCTGTCTCGTCTATTGAGCACGTGTGGCTCCTGTCTCGTGTATCGGGCATGTGTGGCTCCTGTCTCGTGTATCGGGCATGTGTGACTCCGGTCTCGTGTATTAAGCACGTGTGATTCCTGTCTCGTGTATTGAGCACGTGTGACTCCTGTCTCGTGTATCGGGCATGTGTGACTCCTGTCTCGTGTATCGGGCATGTGTGACTCCTGTCTCGTGAATCGGGCATGTGTGACTCCTGTCTCGTGTATTGAGCACGTGTGATTCCTGTCTCGTGTATCGGGCATGTGTGGCTCCTGTCTCGTGTATCGGGCATGTGTGACTCCGGTCTCGTGTATTAAGCACGTGTGACTCCTGTCTCGTGTATTGAGCACGTGTGACTCCTGTCTCGTGTATCGGGCATGTGTGACTCCTGTCTCGTGTATCGGGCATGTGTGACTCCTGTCTCGTGTATCGGGCATGTGTGACTCCTGTCTCGTCTATTGAGCACGTGTGGCTCCTGTCACGTGTGTCGGGCACGTGTGACTCCTGTCTCGTGTATCGGGCATGTGTGACTCCTGTCTCGTGTATCGGGCATGTGTGACTCCTGTCTCGTGTATCGGGCATGTGTGACTCCTGTCTCGTGTATCGGGCATGTGTGACTCCTGTCTCGTGTATCGGGCATGTGTGACTCCTGTCTCGTCTAACCCCGTTGGGCCCACCTTAGCAGTAACCGCGTCAGTTTGGCGCACATATGCAATAATGGCGTCTGTTTGGCGCACCTGTCAGTTAGGCCTACCATATTAGGAGCCCTGTCAATTATGAATTTTTATCACGAAACAATAAAATTGTCTATCCAAGCTAAATGTCAGTGCTGCAACTTCCTTTTTATATGCTTTCTCTGAGACAGTGAGTTGTATTTAAACCCCTTCCCGTCATCGTCAGTCCATTTTATTAGCTTCATTCACAGTGTAATAGCACCAGTTGCATTTTGTATTTAACACTCAAGGCGGCATCGACACACACATAGTTGCAGTTCGTTATAACCCCAGAAATTATGACGGAATATCCATAGTTCGCTTTTCACATGAACACGGACATTGAGTACACTCAAGAGTGGATATCTTCAGGTTACATCGAACTCAATTTCAATCATTTGGGAATGTGCATTGTCATCTTGTGAGATGAGGTGAGGTGAAATGGGGTGTAAGATGATTGCACTTAAATAGCGACGTGTGTGTGTGTGTGTGTGTGTGTGTGTGTGTGTGTGTGTGTGTGTGTGTGTGTGTGTGTGTGTGTGTGTGTGTTATAGATCGGACTAATGCCGATGTTATAGCACTAGTCCACGAGATACCATGCAGCAGTGTAACATGAATACCCCACTCAGACACAGTATACTGACTCCGAGCCGACCAGTCCTTGTTTTAGCCCCACAATCTTTAAACGTCTTCAGGTTTGACGCGGTCGGGGATCGAACATCCGACCTTCCGCTCTCCGGGCGGACGCTCTACCACTAGACCACGGAGGCGGTCCGTTCAACCACCCACGATCACTCCATCTTTGGTAAACCGCCCCTGTGTTGTACTAGATAGAGCGTTTTCCCGGTAACCCCACCACAGTGATTCCTGTCAGCGATGTTCCTGTCAGCGATGTTCCTGTCAACGATGTTCCTGTCAACGATGTTCCTGTCACGGGTGATCTGTTCACAGATGATTCTATCAGGAAGACCACCTTCGTGCCTGGAGAGCGGAAGTGAGTGAGTGAGTGAGTATGGTTTTACGCCGCTTTTAGCAATATTCCAGCAATATCACGGCGGGGGTCACCAGGATGGTCTTCACACATTGTACCAACGAGCGAACGCTTTAACCACTAGGCTACCCGACCGCCCCGGAGAGCGGAAGGTCCTGGGTTCTATTCCCGTCCGCGTCATACCTGCCTGACGGTCGGAACGCATGCACGCATGCACGCACGCACGCGCACGCACGCGCACACACGCGCACACACACACACACACACACACACCTGCAGTCCTGAAACTGTGCATCTTTAACTCAGCAGTATATTCGAAAGCATGTCTCCTATCGGTATACGGTACAGAAAGTAAAACCAACTCGTCTATCATCGAAAGGGACTTTGTTCTTGAAGAAATCGCATTCAGTAATAAAGCGAATACCATAGACGTTAATGAACACTAAGAAAATGCGTACAAGTCGACGTGTACAGTGTTCAGGTGGAATTGTACAGGTACAAATGTACAGTGTTCAGGTAGTATTGTACAGGTACAAATGTACAGTGTTCAGGTAGTATTGTACAGGTACAAATGTACAGTGTTCAGGTAGTATTGTACAGGTACAAACGTAGTGTTCAGGTAGACGTGTACAGGTACAAATGTACAGTGTTCAGGTAGAAGTGGGCGGTCAGGTAGCCTAGTGGTTAAAGCGTTCGCTCGTCACGCCAAAGACCCGGGTTCGATTCCCGACATAGGTACAATGTGTGAAGCCCATTTATGGTGTCCCCCTCCGTGATATTGCTGGCATATTGCTAAAAGCGGCGTAAAACCATACTCACTCACTCACTCAAGTAGAAGTGAACAGGTACAAATATACAGTGTTCAGGTAGAAATTGAGTATTCTAAAGTTGTGTCATTTAAGGTACAAAACAAACAAAACTGATATATCAGATACAGCTCTAGGTTTTCATTAATAGTGTTTTTTAATATATATGCTCACAATCAATATGTCAATGTCCATGACTAGAATTAACTACTTCCCTACATAAACATAGCCATATAACTTTTTGGCTTTTAAAAAAAATCAAATTAAACATTTAATGAATAATATAATATCGCAGTTGTGCTCTGCCGCTCACCAATATTAGAGTAACTGAGCGAGTCGTGTTTTACGCACCTTTAAGCAATATTCCAACAATATCTGGGCGGGGATCACCACTAATGGGCTTCACACATTGTATTTAGGAAATCTTTGGCGTGACGAACAATTAAGCTCCCATCTGAAGCATCATAGATACTCTTGACTATTTTGAAACTCATAATAATGACACTAAAGTGGGTGTCTGTGTCTGCTTTCACAATTCCAGACGAAAGTAGTGCTGGAAATGATAGGAAAATGCTTTTCTCGATTCATTTAATAAATACGAAGAATATGGCTATGTAAATAGCATACATGTATATCAAAATAACGCAAATCTATCTTATCTAGCCTATCCTAGCTGACACTGTGATCAGCCTAAAATGGTACTTTAACAGGTAAACTGATGATAAACATAGAAAATATTCGTGTGGTATGTATGTATGCAACGGCCTATAGCCTGAGGTAATTACCCGACACCTGTCCCTAGGTGACTACCTCACACCGGCCCGTGTATTCTCACAGGTGCAAATGTCACCCGAGTTGGGGGTAATCTGAAAATATTGCTGTTATTGTACTTTATTGAGATATGGGTTGACGGGGCGTAGGAATTAAGACACGTACTGCATTATATTTGCTTCAAAAAATGTTGGAATAGATAAAAGCTATTAAACGGGATGAGTATTGAAAGGGGGGAAATTTCTAATCAAGAAGTATTTTTGTTCTACAGATGAGCTTTTGACTCAGCTGATGACGTATCTGAATCTGTACTATCACCCAAAGGTATGATAACTAGGCAACATGGCTGATACCAAGCCGTCACGTACTGACGTTCTATTTCCAGCATTTAGCCCCACCTCTGGTGTGATTCTAGCAAAGGCTGGGTTGATCACCCCTTTGCCATGTGTGAGTGGGAATGTTGTGTTATGTCTTGTCACGAACCCTTTACAGTTAGCCCAGGTAAACTCCGGGGTTCGATCCCCGGCCGCGTCATACCAAAAGACGTTAAAAGATGGTACTTGTTGTTACCCTGTCTGGCGCTCGGCATTAAGGGGCTAAAACAAGGACTGGTCGGCTCGGAGTCAGTATACTGTGTCTGAGTGGGGTATTCATGTTAAACTGCGGCATGGTATCTCAGTGTGCTAGCACTATAAATCGGCATCAGTCCGGACTAGTACAAGCAGCCACACACACACATACACGTGCATGCACGTCGCTATATAAGTGCAATAATCTTGCACGCGACGTTAAACCCAATTTCACCTCACCTCACCTCACAATGTCTGACTGGCGTACGTAAGACAACGTAACCGTGTTGTGCCTCCAGGACATCTGTCTTGTGCTGGTTTCTTATTCAGGTGAATTTTCTCCATGAGATGAAATTTCAGATGGCCTGGAGTCGACATTACAAGATGTCAGATATTCCTGCATGGTCGCCTTCAGACTTATTCATGACAATAACACTAGGGTTGTTAAGATTGGGCAGCAGCTGATGTTTAAACCAGTCTACAAACATATCATTATTCATTTCCTTTCTCTTTCACCTTGAAAACTAGCTCAGTGGAATGATCCTTGTTCACCCAGGTTTCATAAAGGTAAATGGTCAGGAAGCCCCGACTCCGATAGTCATAGTTGGTGAGTTAGGTTTAACGCCGCTTTATTAACATTATTCCAGTAATATCACGGCGTGTCAGCCGTGGGAGGAAATCCCGAAGTGATGTAGGTCTTTACTGCTTCGGTGAAACACACGAGCACGGGTATGGTGCTGAGAAACCTAGAAACATAATCGGGGCGAACCGGGATTTGAACCCACAATGAAAGGTTTCTGGCGTGCCCAAGGGACGCAACTCTGCATAGCGAATCGCGGCGCCTTAGACGACTGGGCCACCCGTGCGACATGCATCGTGGGAGAAGTGTCATTTTGATTTTTTATAGGATGCACATCTAGAATTTTCTCCAAATGAGTTACTTTTTTGTGTGGATTGGATGTCTTATGAAGACTACGTATACATAGCCTTAAAATGAATCTGAACTTGCTATAGTCGCTAGAATTTGTCTCCTGTGAAATTGTTGATTGGACTCAAACGTCGCCTTTACAGTATTAAAGAAGTTGTTATCCATAAATTGTGTGTACTTTGTTTCCGTTAGTAGTTTAACAAAAGGGGTATCTAAAGATACCATCAATTTATGAAATTACACAAAGGATTGACAAGTGACCAAAACATGTTGTTTTCAATATGGGTGCAAATATTTGGATTTGCATGGAATAGGCGGTTTAGTAATGAAAGTATATAACAGCAGATATGAACGTATACTACATATATCATACACCACAACTAATATACTAAAACATACCACATTGCACACACGTGAGTTAATGACTTTGAAAAAAACCAACATAGCGTTATGAATAATTATAAAAAGTACAATATATATGTAGGTACTTTAAGCTACATCAAAATTGTGGTTTTACAAGGACAGACAGCGGACTAAGTAAACTGGCAGTGATGATTCGAACTCGGGATGCACCTTCATGCTGTTTACAAACATAGAGGCACCAGAGGTAACACAAGTAACAGAGGTAACACAAGTAACAGAGGTAACAGAAGTAACAGAGAAACTGAGGTAACAGAAGTAAATGAGGTAACAGAAGTAACTGATGTACCATAGGCAACAGAAGTAACAGAAGAAACTGAGATAACAGAAGTAACTGAGATACCAGAGGTAACAGAAATAACAGAAGTAACTGGGGTAACAGAAGTAACATAAGTCACTGAGGTAACAGAGGTAACTGAGGTAAAAGAAGTAACAGAGTAACTGAGGTAACAGAAGTAACTGAGGTAACAGAAGTAACAGAAGTAACTGAGGTAACAGAAGGAACTGAGGTAAAAGAAGTAACAGAGTAACTGAGGTAACAGAAGTAACTGAGGTAACAGAGGTAACTGAGGTAACAGAAGTAACTGAGGTAACAGAAGTAACAGAGGTAACAGAAGTAACTGAGGTAAAAGAAGTAACAGAGTAACTGAGGTAACAGAAGTAACTGAGGTAACAGAAGTAACAGAGGTAACAGAAGTAACTGAGGTAACAGAAGTAACTGAGGTAAAAGAAATAACAGAGTAACTGAGGTAACAGAGGTAACAGAAGTAACAGAAGAAACTGAGATAACAGAAGTAACTGAGATACCAGAGGTAACAGAAATAACAGAAGTAACTGGGGTAACAGAAGTAACAAAAGTCACTGAGGTAACAGAGGTAACTGAGGTAACAGAAGTAACTGAGGTAACAGAAGTAACTGAGGTAAAAGGAGTAACAGAGTAACTGAGGTAACAGAAGTAACTGAGGTAACAGAAGTAACAGAAGTAACTGAGGTAACAGAAGTAACTGAGGTAACAGAGGTAACTGAGGTAACTGAGGTAACAGAAGTAACTGAGGTAACAGAGGTAACTGAGGTAACAGAAGTAACTGAGGTAACAGAGGTAACAGAAGTAACAGAAGTAACTGAGGTAAAAGAAGTAACAGAGTAACTGAGGTAACAGAAGTAACTGAGTTAACAGAAGTAACAGAGGTAACAGAAGTAACAGAAGTAACTGAGGTAACAGAAGTAACTGAGGTAAAAGAAATAACAGAGTAACTGAGGTAACAGAGGTAACAGAGGTAACAGAAGTAACAGAAGTTACTGAGCACCAAGATAAAAACACATAAGGTATTTCTCCCTATCACAGAGGGTTCCCTCAACGATCGCTATGTTACATTGCTACATCGCTAATGACAACAAAACAAAAACGTTTGATGTAAGCGGATAAATATGAAGAGAGAGATCCCTTGGTCAAAATAATAACATAGTCTTTGAATAATATATGTGGAATTTATATCCTCATTATATGAACCATATAGACATTGCATACATGTAAAAATAAAGCCACATATATGAAGAGGTCCCTTGATCATGTCAAAAATAATAACATAGTCTTTGAATAATATATGGTTTATTAATATACTCGAGATTTGAACCATATAGACATTGCATATACTTAAAAATAAAGACACACGGCTCTGCAGCTCACCTGATGTAAGAACAAACGGTATGGAAGTTTGTGTGACACGGTAACTCAGAGGATTCACACAAAGTTTTACCTCCAACAAAAACATCAGAAAAACAGTGCCACGCCACTTTAGTTCACCTCGAAATCTAAAAAAACATTTTAAAGAGACAGACACTTAAAATAGTTGTCGTTAGTATTGATATTAAAATATTTTTTTACATATATACAGAAAACTAAAATCTAATGATGAGTATGGTATAGTGATAAGAAGGAAATATACAGGCCAAAGTTCAGCTCCCTCAGTCAGGCGAGCTAATATTAGGCATTATTTGTAGACCCTACAAATGACGCCCAGACATACCCTATTTCTCATTTGTTATCCTCACTATCGTGCAAGGGATTGAAGTTGTCTGTTCCGAAAAATGTTGAAGCCTGGACCATGTTTGTTAATACTTTCGTACCTCAGGAAGAACACACATGGGTGACACTATTCCTTCTTCAAACTGTGTTATAACTCAAAGCCATGACTGTCTCCAGAATTGTGTTTAAGAGTACTGTTTCTGTTGACCTGTTGTTCAAATGGGAAGTGCCTTTTTCAGATTTATCTTGGTTTGATTTTGTGATGGATGAACTCTGTGCTTGTTTTATTAAAACTGTCCTTGGTTACTGTGAAGGCTGTTCTTGGTTACAGTGAAGAAGGCTGTCAGATCTAGGTTGATTGTTATCATTGTTGGATGTCGATATTTCCTTTACGTCTGAAGCAGCAGCACCAGCCAAACACGTCCTTCAGCCGGTTGCCCTGGAGACAGAGATGTTTAATCTTATATCTAGAAATCCCCGACGTTCAGGATCGGAAATGACAGGAACCAATTTCAAAGGTTTTTATTGTCTTACTTCCTTATCTCACTGGCTAGTTGGGCGGAAACATAAACACATTGTAACGACAGAGAACAAAAATCAAGTATGGCCTGAGTTTTCAGAAAAGAAGCACGCATGACACTTTTGCAAGAGGTCAGCCATATGGAGGCATTCTCTAACATTGAAGTAGAACATTTGGAGAGGACAGTCAGGCGTTTCTAAGATACCCATGTTATAACTACCTACCTTTGCCTCTCCACCAGCTGCCTGACGTTTGTAGGTGGCTCTAATCAAGGCTGAAAAGAATTCGAGGTGGTATAATTGGTGCTTTCTTTCAAGGGCAACTTTCTTAAGCTCTCAATATCAGTATATGCCGCCGTACGTTTCCAGTGTGATATCAAGACCTTCGGTTTCAGTTATGGCAAGTGAAATTGATTTTATTGTTCGTTAGGTCTTCGGCCTCTGATCATGGTCTTGTAAAACTTACTGGACATATTTTTAGACTGTCTGTTCATTAACGACATGCCGGACAATATGAACAAGGCACGGTGAGGCTGAGTGTATACGTCATGGGAAGTGACACTAAATTGTATCTTTCTGTTAACACTGAGCATGATACGTACCATTCTATATTATTTGTCAAAGGAAATGAAACTCGTCTTCAACATTGGCCAATACTAGTAGTTAGACTTAGTTTGAAAATCCTGAGGAGAAATCTTGTCAAGGTGTTGAGACGTTTCAGATTGATTGGATCTTGGTGTCATATCGTGAACTACTTTTGAAATCATTACTCCAGGTTTGCCTCAATATGCAAATTAACTTTTCTCGGAATTTGTTATTAAAACGTCTTCATTTTAAGACACCCTAATTTGGACATGTCATGACATAAACAAATATGTTTTTGCCCTTACTGCTAATAAAGACCTTCTCATGGTATGAGTAAATAACACATCCAGACATGTATACTCCAATACCACCTTAACCTGTCACTTCTCTCGTGAGGCCACAGGACAACCCCTTCGAAAGAAATATTTTTGCTTTTGGATTTTTTTACATGTAGTTTATTTGTTCAAACATATAAAATATTCAGTTGATTTTATAAAAATGTATCAGAGAAGCATAATAACTTCAAGTAAATCGGGATGCAGTTGTGCGACAGGTCTGCCGTGTCTGCCAAAAGGGAATCTTTATATCCTGCGCGTCAGTCATTTATATTGTTTCAGATTCCCGGGACCCGCACCATATGTTATCTCTGCTTGACACCTTGACCAGATTCCCAGCACCATATGTTATCCATTCTTGACACCTTGACCAGATTCCGAGCACCATATGTTATCCATTCTTGACACCTTGACCAGATCCCCCGCACCATATGTTATATATGCTTGACACCTTGACCAGATTCCCCGCACCATATGTTATCCATTCTTGACACCTTGACCAGATCCCCCGCACCAAATGTTATATATGCTTGACACCTTGACCAGATTCCCCGCACCATATGTTATCTCTGCTGGACACCTTGACCAGATTCCCCACACCATATGTTATCTCTGCTGGACACCTTGACCAGATTCCCCGCACCAAATGTTATCCCTGCTTGACACATTGAACTGTTTTCAAAACCCATGATACAACGACTCTAAAATAACTATTAGCTACCTTAATAAGATAGTAATTTGCACTTCCGTTTAGTGACTTCCGGTTTGGAAGCCCAAACACGACGCTGTTCCCTTTCAAAACAGAAATTCCAATGCCTCCAACTATCTTAATAAGGACGAAACACAATGTCTAACTCATAACCCTCAGTATATGGCAAGTGAAACTATTTATGATCAACCTGTTCACGGCATCACCTATGGGACTGGGATGAGTGAGTGAGTTTGATTTTACGCCACTTTTAGCAATATTCTAGCATTATCACGGCGGGGGACACCAGAAATGGGCTTCATACACTGGAACCCATGTCGGGAATCGAACGCTTTAACCCGACCGCCCCGGGACTTTGATGAAGTGGACCACCTACCTGTCATCACCGTTCCCAGTAGAAGAGCGCAACACACGGCGATGTTGGCACTAAGGACGCTCAGTCTGTTCATCATGGCTCGCATACCCAGAGTGAAGATTATACCGAAAATCTGCATAACAAATTCACATTTAAAGCATGAAGGACAAATGACGACAAAGATAAACTGACGAGGCACTATTTTAATGTCTAAATTTGACAACTTCAGTTGATTTCGGGGAAGCTATACATGCTATATTATTAGACGAAAAGACTCTCAGTCCGTTATACCCCAACAAATTTGGTCAATATTTACAATATTATGTAGAAGTGAGTGAGTATGGTTTTACACCGCTTTTAGCAATATTCCACCAATATCACGGCATTGTACCCATGTGGGTAATTAAACCCGGGTCTTCGGCGTGACGAGCGAACGCTTTAACCACTAGGCTACCCCACCGCCCATTATGATATACGGCAGCAGGTCAGTAAGCTATTGTGGGCCCATCAATGTCCAGAACTAAAAACCATGATGAAATGTTTGTATAAAGACTGACCTTGTTCACCATGCTACTAAATGTCCTAAATGGCTTGAAAAGGCAATGTTCGAATGTTAGAGTGTATTAGTGAGTGAGTAAGTGATTGAGTTGGGTTCAACACCGCTTTGAACAGTATTGCAGGTTTTTCGCGGCGAGTCAGTTTCATGTATGTGGGAGGAAAGCCCGAAGTGATTCAGGCGTTCACCACTTTGGTAACCCACAAGCACGGGTATAGTGCTGACAAACCTACAGACGTAATCGGGACGAACTGAGACGGAGCCCACAATCAAAGGTTTCTGGTGTGCCTTAGGGAATCGCAGCGCCTGAGACGCCTGGGCCAACCGTGCCCCCAGTTCCAAAAGAATAGCATGGACACACACCTGTGCCGACGCGTTCAGCAGACCGGAGGATGTCCCTTCTGGTTCAGGAAAGGTGAGCTCAGCTGCGAACTCGAAGCCGACCGGTAGGTATCCAGTCATGAAGAATCTAGGAACAGAGGTCGAAGAAAGACGTCACAAATACCTGAGAGTTTTAGGGCCTCGATCCTGCCCCACACTGAAACACAGGTTACATATAGCCTCTCCTTCGGCAAGAGAAATATGCCTCTGTCCATCCAGCAGTGAATGGGTACCCGGTAGGATAGGATGATAACGTGACAGTTACCCTTCTGGCGCCTCATAAGACAGTTTGGCTTGAACTTATTAATATACTTAATATAAACACGACATATAAACTTATGATTTTCATGCTGGGAATATCTCATTCATATCCAGTTCCGTAAATGTCTTTTGTATATTAAGTCTCAAAATTGACTTTAAATTGTTTGAATTCGCTATGCACTCAGATGTTGTATAAGTAATGAATGTCTTACGCGTGATGGTCTTCTTTTTGGGGGGACATATCCCATGTACAGTGGTTCCATGCATAATATCAATGGAGTCACATGATATGAAACACCATGCGTATCTTGAATACCTACCCCAAGGACCCAGCCGTGACGAACACCACCCAGATGTGGCCTGTATTCATGGTGAACGTGAAGAGCACCATACACCCCATGGACAGGAAGTAGATACCGAGTGATGTCCCCCTGAAAGTGTAGACAATTTTGTATGGTCTATTAATGAAGCTTACAAGAAAGGAACGCTCCCCTTCAATGTGCTATACATCGATTAAAGTTGTAATTCATGACTGGAAAATACGTCTAACATACAGGTATCATTATATTCTGTATATTATAGATAGTTCCACACAAACCAAAATACGTCTGCTCAGGAAACCTGCTGATTTGTAGGTAGGTCTTGGAACAACATTGTGCACTCCTTTCAATGAGTGAGTGAGTTGCGTGTAACGCCGCTTTGAATAGTATTCCAGTCATATCACGGCGTGTCAGCTTAACGTGGGAGGAACGCCCGAATTGATGCAAGTTTTAGACGTTTACCACTTTGATGAAACCCACGAGCACGGGCATGGGGCTGCCAAACCTAGAAACATAATCGCGGTGATTCGATCCAAAAATGATAGATTTCTGGCGTGCCCGAGGCTCGCAACTCTGCCTTTAGTGGAGCGGTTTTTTGACTAAACTGTGCACTGTGAGTTTAAAGCATGACACATGGTACACAGGTTCTTCATCCCAGTACAAACATTTATGGAGAGATCCTTATTTTTGGACATTTGTAAACGTTAGGCCCTTAGTATAGGCCTTAGTATAGATTTCCAATATTTGGTACTATGGTACTTCTCTTTCATTTGATCATTTTTAGATACTTGGTTACCATGATGTTTCCAAAATGACCCCCAAATCCAAGATGGACGAAAAGAATGCAATAAATACGCAATTTTCACCTGATCAACATTAAACATCTATTTACTGAAATGACATTTTCAAAATTCACATGTTATCCTGTTCCATCAATGTGATCATAAAACAATACCGACCCCAACTATATTTATGCAAAATCCGCGATACATTCCCCACATTCCCGTCATTTTCAACATTATCTTACACAGAGAAATGTCATCATGAATATACTTGTTACCAAATAAGTTATACAATAGTTATACAATAGTTATACGATAGTGGGGATACATTTATGAATATTTGGTTAAAGTAGTTTTTTAAAGATGGCCGACAAATCCAATATGGCCGACATGGATTGAAACATTATAAACATCTCAACAAAATATAGATGCACAAGGGTGCAAAACATGGTATTTCATATATGATATGAATATATGCGATAAAACTATTTCCGTATTTATAAGAAATTTCTGCTAAACACAGATTCAGCATTTTAAATATTTATCCAACCAGATATTGATGAATCTACAAAATCCGTCAAATACAATGCAGCAATGAGACCTAATTTGGAACACTCCAACTTAATACACCAAATAGATATAAATAGTGTGTAAGTGGCACAAAATAACTATATCCAAAGCCCTTGTCACATTCAACACATCTGCCATAGTTCACAGTATGTTCATAACGAAGTTAATCCGATCTGCAGTTAGATTTCCAGGCTTTTTTAGAGCTGTTAATATGTCATATTTCATTATTTTGACTCAAAAATCAAACAGAGGGTTATTCTTCAATCTCGGATAATTGCTTGAAACTTTTTTCAACCATTTTTACCTTAAAATTAACCATCTGACTATCTGTTTTGCACATTTCAACATACTTACTCATATCAAAGTAGTAATTGGGTTTCATTGTATTAACTGTGCTAATTCTCGTCCATATTGGAAATGGCGGCCATTTTGCTTGGCTCTATAGCCAAAATTAATCAACATGGTTAAAGCTTTTATTGTACCAAGTTTCATGCTTTTAACTGAAAGTGCACAATTCGGCCCTTTTTTGACACTTAGCCGCCCCACTACAGGAGAAAGAATTGTAAACAAGAGACAAGGTGTAAGCATGACAGGTAACATCCGATGATATTATTTTTTTCAGTTTTTTGGTTGTTTAACGCCGCAATATTCCAGCTATATGACGGAGGTCTGTAAATAGTCGAGTCTGGATAAGACATACCAGTGATTGACATCATTAGCATCGATCCACGCAATCACTGGATTACCTCAATCTCATTAAAATGAGATCTTAGTTCTCGCTGCCGCTAAGCAAAGATCTGAGGACACCCCATTACGGGTCACGTCAGACTGACCTTTCGCGAACTCTGACCGACCAATGGAATTACTGACAAGAAGTCGACATTAGCCAATCAGGCAGCTTTCTCGCTTCAAAACATATTTTGACAAATTCTCGCTTAAAAATTTGAAACCTGAACAAAAGTACATTCTCGAATGGCTAATATATGGTCAAGATTGTATAGATTCAGTCGTTTACCCCGTGTTAAAGTTTTCGACATTGCATGATTAGAAATCATATTCCGACTGTCATTTTCATGATCTGGTAAGCGACGCTCTGATTGGTCGGATTAAAGGTCGTTCTGACGTGACCCCTAATATGATGTCATCAGATCCTTGTTTAGCGGTAGCGAGAACTAAGATTTGATTTTAATGAGATTGTGGATTACATTGTTGTGGATAACAAACAAACAAAAACACACACAAAAATGTTATCAGGAACTAAGTAACCCGACTGAGAAGGGTTTTGAATTTTTCCATTATTGTGCTGAAACATTGCTTACTTGAATGTTCTTGTTTTATCCAGCCAAACCCCGGCCAAGACGGCTCCCACTATCCCCGTGATAACAATGGTGAGGCCTATCCTCCCTGCGTTCACCTCTTCTCCCTGAAATCAGCAGCAACATGTCATGCATGAGCGAGTTGTTCGTTTGTTTGTTATTTAACGCCGCTCTCAGCAATATTCCAGCTATATGACTGGTCTGTAAATAATCGAGTCTGGACCTGAAAATCCAGTGATTGACATCATGAGCAACGATTCACGCAATTGGGACAGATGACATACACCAACCAAGAAAGCCAACCTGACCACCCGATCCCCTTTGTCGCCTCTTACGACAAGCATAGTCGCCTTTTACGGCCAGCATGGGTTGCTGAAGACCTATTCTACCCCGGATCTTCACGATGAAGAATAATGGAACACAAGGAAAAAACTCCATTACAAGACCACTGTCAGTGTGGATTGAGAAGGGGCTACCGAAAATCAGATAATGCATTTGTTCTTTGAACTTTGAACTGTTCTTTGATATATTCAATTGGGATACGATGACATGCATCAACCAGGTCAGCGAGCCTGACCACCGATCCCGTTGTTGTCTCAAAAGACAAGTATAGTCGCCTGTAAATGTAAGCATGGGTTCTAAAGACATATATTACCCCGGATCTTCACGGGTTTCAAGCTACATGTGATAAACATTAGACGGTGATGTAACAGACACATATTCGCATCATAATGTCACTGCATATATACACACCAAATATTCACTGTATGTACCCCGGATCTTCACGGGTTTCAAGCTATATGTGATAAACATTAGACGGTGATGTAACAGACACATATTCGCATCATAATTTCACTGCATATATACACACCAAATATTCACTGTATGTACCCCGGATCTTCACGGGTTTCAAGCTACATGTGATAAACATTAGACGGTGATGTAACAGACACATATTCGCATCATAATTTCACTGCATATATACACACCAAATATTCACTGTATGTACCCCGGATCTTCACGGGTTTCAAGCTATATGTGATAAACAATAGACGGTGATGTAACAGGCACATATTCGCATCATGTCTTCACTGCATAATATACACACCAAATATTCGCTGTATGTATTTACATCATGTATTAACTGCATGTATTCACACCATGCATCCACTGCATGTATTCACATCATGTATTCACTGCATGTATTCACATCATGCATCCACTGCATGTATTCACATCATGCATCCACTGCATGTATTCACATCATGCATCCACTGCATGTATTCACATCATGCATTCACTGCATGTATTCACATCATGCATCCACTGCATGTATTCACATCATGCATTCACTGCATGTATTCACATCATGTATCCACTGCATGCATTCACATCATGCATTCACTGCATGTATTCACATCATGCATCCACTGCATGTATTCACATCATGCATCCACTGCTTGTATTCACATCATGCATTCACTGCATGTATTCACATCATTCATCAACTGCATGTATTCACATCATGCATCCACTGCATGTATTCACATCATGCATCCACTGCGTGCATATGCTATACTCACGGGGAAGTAGTCGAGCACGACAGCGTTCAGCAGTGTAGCAATGGCGTAATAGCAGCCAACGTTCACTCCTGAAAAACAGGAACTCGTTTGCATATGTGTTGGTAATTACTAGGCTGTGCTTACCGTCCATATTGAACAGACTGGGTGTTCTCAAGCTTGTTCCGTTTGCAACCAACGGGAATGTCAAGCATTAAATTCAAAATGTCGCTCTTTTTTCTGGGTAACTGTATATTGACTGTGAGAATGTGGCACTCATTGCCCGGAATACACGTTTCACGCACATAGATTGCGCTGATCGCACAACATCATTGAAAATATATGCCATTTCAAATACCGAACTTTTATCTGAAAATATATATGTCCCGACATTAGTGAACATAATATTAGTTATATTACTTATATACTCCTACAAAAAGTAGTGGATACTCGGAAATAACTTGAAATTTCCCAAATTGTAAGAGATTAGTTTCTAGTAATAGTTGTATGATGATAATGAACTATTCGGGAACAAATTACAGCCGGTAGTGAAGTATGACAGTTAATGGTATGGTCGCTAACGATCTTGAAAAAAGAGAGGGCTAAGAAGGACAATTTCAGTGTTGACGTTTTTGAATCAGTAGTGCGTAATACCGCCACGATTTGTCAAACATCTATTCATTCGACTGCGTATGCGTTTTCCAAATGGCGATTTGAGGGAGTCTGTCCCACTCCTCTTGCAGCGCCTAGCCAAGTTCAGCCAAAGTGGTCGGCGGCATCTGACGTTGACGTTCACGTCTCCCTATCATGTCCCAGACGTGTTCAATGGGGGAAAGGTCTGGGCTCATTGCTGGTCATGGCGTTTTATGGATGTTATCCGGCTGGAGTCGACCGTTGCCGATTCGTGCACGATGAGCACGGGCGTTGTCGTCCTGAAAGACAAAACGTCGACTAACACGCCTTGCACACGGGACACCAAAGGGTGTCAGTATGCTGTCCCTCGTTGAAAGTTCTGTCCAGTGACCCTTCCTTGCACAATATGGAGTGGGGTTCGCTCAGTCATAGTGATGCCATCCCACACCATAACCGACCCACCACCACATTTGTCATGAGGTCTCACTTTGACATCGGCTTGAAGATCATTTCAACGTCGTCAGACACGACCACGACTATCAAGGAAGTGCCAAGTGAATCGTGGCTGGTCTGAAAACATGACACGTGATTAGCGACGGTTACCCCAGTTTCGACGTTGTGCACACCATTGACGTCTGTTGTCAATATGACGACTACCAAGGGTTGCACAACACGTGGCCGTCGAGCATGGCGATGAGCTACATGTAGACGATTTCTAATCGTCTGACCCGCATCTCGTACTCCAGTAGCCTGAAGAAAGTTTGTAGCTATTTGATTTGCCGTTTAAACTCGATTTCGTAGAGCCTAGTTTCGGATCAATCAATCGTGTACTCTTGTCGTTGACCTGGGACGCCCTGAACGGGGGCGATCGTCCATATTTTGGGTTTGTTGGTAAAGTTCAATAGTCTGCTAATCACAGACAGTGAAACATTGAACGTATTCGTTACTGCACGCTGACTTCTAAGGGTTTCCTGCATGCCAATAGCGTGTAGACGCTCCGCGCGTTGCAGACGCCGCACCTCTAGTTAATACACAAACAATAAATTAACTCAAGTAAGTCACAACTGTATGATAAGCAGAATCAATCAGATTGACAAAAGAATGTTCCACAGAGATTATCGACCTTCTTTGAAATGACACCCTACGTACGTGTCAAGTTTTACAGACATAAACGTTTTTTGGATAGGATGTTTGTCGTCAACACTTACCTTTGTTCAAATACCTGGTATAATACCCCCATTCCACTTAGCGGCGCTCTGTGCTCTTACAAAACGCCATAGATCGCCATATAGAGCGCTTAGATCTCCAAAAGCGTTAATTGATCGCTATCTGATCTCTAATTGATCTTCATGATCGTCAAGGACGCCGCTTGTCGACTGCCCTGCACAAAGATCCGTGGCGCTCTGCCCAGAATGCCGTCAGATCGCTACTTGATCGCCGAGATCGCAATCAGAGCGCTATCGTATCATCTCAGAGCGCCGCCGATCGCGACGGAAGACTAGGACCTACCCCTCTGCTACCAAGCGTATAACTGTTGAGCGCCTCAGAACGCTACGAGTTTTTATAGGATCGGACCCAAAATTCGGCGATCGGGTCGCAATAGGATCCCATAGAGTGCTAATTGAGTGCTTATGGACCTCCATAGGTCGCCTAGATCGCTCTCGGATCGGAGTAGAGCGCGTGAGATCGCAATGATCGCCATCGGAGCGCAAATAGAGCACCATTGGATCGCATCCTGATCGCCTTTGATCGTAAAAAGGAGCGGGAACTGAATGGGCAAGATCGCCACATTTTGGTCTTCATGTCGCTATCGGATCGCATAGATCTATTGGGTCGCAACAGGAGCGCTATCTTATCGTAATCAGATCATAAGTGCCCAACCGAAAAATAAGGAGACCTATGGCGCTCCCTCAGAGCGCGTAGAACGCAAAAGAGCGCCGCCTAGTGGAATGGGGGTAATATATATAACATTTACATTTCATGACCCCCTACTTTTTTTAATAGTATATGTGATATTGACGACATGGAGGGTAATAATCTCTGTTTACCACTTTGGTGAAACCCACCGGCACGGGTATGGTGCTGACAAACCAGAAACCAGGAGCTATTCTTGAATTCGAACAATAACAGGTTTCTGGCGTGCCCGAGGAACGCAAATATTCCATAATAGAAAAAGTAAACAGCTGTGTGTACATACATGAATTACTCTTTTTGTTAATGGGAGCGGGGATCCTTCTGTGCCATTATTGTTTTCCCTCTTTAAACTGAATTAGGAGCTACTCTACATGGAAACTGAAGCAGGGAAACTTTTAGTAGACAAATACCAAATATTTAGACATTACTTTTTGATGATAATATATATTAGGATGTGCGGATAGAACAGGGACAGACTACAGGAACAGCTTCATATAGTGGGCATGTTTTGTTGAGTGAGTGAGTGAGTGAGTGAGTAAGTATGGTTTTACACCGCTTTTAGCAATATTCTAGCAATATCACGGCGGGGGACACCAGAAATGGGCTTCACACATTGTACCTATGTCGGGAATTGAACCCGGGCCTTCGGCGTGACGAGCGAACGCTTTAACCACTAGGCTACCCGACCGCCCCCTGTTTTGTAAAGACGCAGGTGTGAAGATTAATGTGAATAAAACCAAATTATTGTTTTCAGAAATAGTGGAAAATTACAAAATTATGTCAAGTGGTTTTATGGGGTACAGCTAGAAACAGTTTCCTTTTTATAGATATTTGGTCGTGTTGTTTACTCCAAAACTGTCTTGGACTCATGCAAAATATTTGTTTAAGTAATCAAGCAAGAAAAGCAGATGGATCCGTTAGGGCATTTTAGAAGAAATTTGGGAAAATTAATGTCGAAGACATTTTCAGAATATTTGATTCTATTATAAGCCCAATTTTATGTTATGGGTCAGGAATTTGGGGCCCACAATATTTAGAATATAAAGAGAAAGTCCAAGTACAGTTTTGTCGGATTTTGTTTGAAAGTAAATAAATCGGTCAGTAATAATATGGTAATGGGAGAATAAGGAAGGAAACCATTCTTTGTGTTGTATATGGTAAGATGCACAATATGTTGGTGTCAATTATTATCAATGTCTCCGGAGAGATATCCAAAACAGTGTTATTCAATGTTATAAATCTGTGGCAGATAAATGGAAGAGATACTTGGGCTTTAAAGATGAAGACTATGCTATATTGGGATGGATTTGGGTGTGCTTGGTTATCACAAGAAATAGGTAACGAGAACATGTTTATATTTTCTTTAAACAAAGTTTGAGTGATATTGCACAACAAACTTGGTCTTCTGAGTTGAATAATATGTCTACAAGTAAAAGATTTTATTGTCATTTTTAAAGTCTTTAAGATGTTGAAAATTACCTGAATTGTGATATCCGAAATGAAGTAAATATGTATTTCAAAATCTATATGTTGCAATTTTAAATTAATGACAGAAATTGGTAGATTTAACGGCATTCCATTTCATCGGAGATATTGTTTATATTGTTTGCAGGAAATGTTATGTTTGATGGAAGATTAGCTCCATATACTTGCAGTCTGTCCATTGTACCCTGATCTTAGATTAAAGTATACCAAACTTTGAATATGTTTGCATTAACTCTGATATTGAACAATGGTAATATTAACCACGTTCAAAGAACTGCTACATATCTAGTTCACCTGTTTAGACATGAAATATTTATGTCGACTCAACCCATAAAATAATACCATACATGATGTAATTATTGCTCAAGCTTATTTCTATCTGTGACTTACAGACACTTTGTGTCTAAATCATGTAACCTCTCACTGTGCCAAGAAGGGTTGTTATGCCTATTGTACCATGGGCTACTGCCCTCCAAGTACCGCAATACTGTCTCATGTCTCTCTAAAATGACGGACCGCCTCCGTGGTCTAATGGTAGAGCGTCCGCCCGGAGAGCAGAAGGTCCGGGGTTCGATCCCCAGCCGCGTCATACCAAAAGACGTTAAAAGATGGTACTTGTTCTTACCCTGTCTGGCGGTCGGCATTAAGGGGCTAAAACAAGGACTGGTCGGCTCGGAGTCAGTATATTGTGTCTGAGTGGGGTATTCATGTTAAACTGCGGCATGGTATCTCAGTGTGCTAGCACTATAAATCGGCATCAGTCCGGACTAGTACAAGCAGCCACACACACACACATACACCTGCATGCACGTCGCTATATAAGTGCAATAATCTTTGACGCGACGTTTAACCCCATTTCACCTCACCTCACCCCACCTCTAAAATGACGTGGTTGCGTGTTACCTGTCGGCTACGTAGACAAGCTCGGTGTCTGTTTCGTCACGTGACAGGTCACACGTGCGATATATCAAGCGTGTCAGACAGGCACAGCTGTCAAGCAATGTGAATGGCGGATCTAGGCATACCAACGTAGAAACCCGTGGTAGACACAATCTGCAATTTTTTATGAAACATTCTTAAATTTACTCCGAGGTAAAATGTAGAGATACAATCAAAATCAGGTAATACGATACCTCCTGCCATATCCCCCACACTGCATAGCTGGACCATGTAGAGTACCAATGCCTGTCAGCCTCCATTAGACCACGCGGTTTAAATTCATGCACAGAGTGAGGGAGGGGCACAGTGAGTCGGGTTTGCTCTTTTTTAAACGAAGTGAGTGAGTGAGTATGGTTTTACGCCGCTTCTAGCAATATTCAAGCAATATCACGGCGGGGGACACCAGAAATGGGCTTCACACATTGTACCCATGTCGGGAATCGAACCCGTGTCTTCGGCGTGACGAGCGAACGCTTTAACCACCAGGCTACCCGACCGCCCCTAAACGAAGTGAGGAGAAGAAAGAATGGCAGTTTTAGGATATATTCACAATGTGAATGACACCCATGAAAAGTTAAAATGTGTATTAACAGTACAATCATAATATTTATATGTTCTCTTCTGCATTAAGTTTTGAAATATATTTTTTCATAAAATTGGCATATTTTTTCATAAGCCCACAAATGTAACCTTTACTAAATACAGGGGTAGAAGGCGCTGGCATTCCAACAGTCACATATGTGTTGAATATACTTCTTTTAGCTTAAATATTCAAACAAATTAATGTTAACCTCTAGCCCACAAGATAGTTCTGAATGTGAAGCAGTCGTTGGTGCCTTCTCTGATATTTTTCAAACCGTCAACAAATTATCAACAAAGCTTGAAAAAATAAATCAACTGTACTGTATGGTTTGATGTTAAATGTAAAGAGGCAATAAGAAATCAATATATCAATTAATATTAGGGCTCTTTTTGTCAACAACAAAAAAAGAATACAAAAGTTACTCATAAGAAAACAACGTGTATATAAACAAACTCAGCTGGAACAACAGGAAACCTTATCAAAACAGGGACAAAAAACATCAGGAAACTATTAAATAAACTGAATTTTTTATCCTGATCCCGAGGAGCTAACAAATGACTTCGGGAATATTTAAACTAAAACAAAGAGATATGCACATATGTGACAGTCTTAGAAATCCAATTACAGCAAATGAAGTTCTCACTTTTATAAAACAATTCAAAACAAACGAAAGTCCAAGGGATTGTGGTTTTACGCCGCTTTTAGCAATATTCAAGCAATATCACGGCGGGGGACACCAGAAATGGGCTTCATACATTGTACCATGTCGGGAATCGAACCCGGGTCTTCGGCGTGACGAGCGAACGCTTTAACCACTAGGCTACCCGACTGCCCCTAAAGTCCAAGGGAAGATAACCAAAGGAATAAACTTTTAAAATGAATAGATTGTACATTGTTAGACCAGTGGGTTAAACTATTTAATATCTTTAATAGTGGTCACTTCCAACAGAGATGGGCAACCTCGGTTATCACCGCGTTACATGAGAAAAGGATGATGAGACTAATCCAAATAACTACAGGCGTTTTGCACTAAGCAGCTGCTTGGGTAAACTATTTTGCAACTTCATAAATGACTTGTTTGTTTGTTTGTTGTTTAACGCCGCACTCGGCAATATTCGAGCTATGTGACGGTGGTCTGTAAATAATCTAGTCTGGACCAGACAATCCAGTGATTGACATAACGAGCATCGATCCACGCAATTGGAATCGATGACATGCACCAACCAAGTCAGCGAGCCAGACCACCCGATCCCGTTAGTCGCCTCTTTCGACAAGCATAGTAGCCTTTTACGGCAAGACTGGGTTGCTGAAGACCTATTCTACCCCGGATCTTCACGATGAAGAATAATGGAACACAAGGAAAAAACTCACATTACAAGGATTTAGAAGGGGCTACCGAAAATCAGATATTGTATTTGTTCTTTAAACATTGATATATATTACAAAAACTAAAAAGAAAAGATTCAAAATTAAACACTGACTTTCAAAAGGCTTTTGATTCATTTGACAGATCACTACCCCTAACAAAGATATTATCAAATATAATCTCAGGAAATTTTTTAAAAATAATAACATCACCATATAATGATATCGCTTATTTAGTGAAAACTGACGAGAGCATTTCAAATCCTTTGACTCCAACATCGGGGTAAGACAAGGATACATTTTGTCTCCCACATTATTAAATATATGATCTTCCACATTTTATCAAATCTGATTTTGTAAATCCATGACTGAAGGATTTGCAAAGCATGGGTACCGCCAACTTGGCGTCGACAGATATTTTGCAAATCTTGTTCTTAATCAACGTGCTCACGTGATTTAATCAACTTCGCGAGGTAAGGCCCATACACCCACACGCGTATAATAACAGCAGTCGAGGTGAATAGGTAACACTGCTCATATTTAAACTGACCTGCATGGTTTGCTGCCTCTTGCGTCGGTATGTCGCTGACCTCTCCTGCCTTTAGATTGCCGATTGTACACATGAAACCACCATCGGGGCGTGGGAAGAAATCTCGAATGTGATTCTCAAAACTTCACCAAATTATATATCTAAATTAAAATATAGCTGCAAGCACCAATTGCGGGTTCCAAGTGACGCGCGTACAAACGTACGCAAAAATATTCGGCCATATTCAAATCCTTAAATGGTTTGATAGTACTAACGCCGTCAAAAGTAAAGCATGCCTGAGTGTCCCAGGGTGTTCTATACCCATTTCCGACCTCTTCCATAATCGAATCCTCAAATGGTCTGCTTGTACAAACGCCGTAAAAGGTTAGGCACCGCTTGTAGACATCGCCGCTAGGAAACTGGCGTGTGCCGGAGCATCCTTGGATGTTCTTAACCCATTTTAGACCTCATCCATATTCAAGAAACTTCAACGTGCACCGCGATTCGCCTTCATGCGAATACCTAAAATTTAATAAAAGTCGCCTTCGTGCAGGACCCCAATACACCTGGCTGTTAAGGCCTTGGACATGGTTAGCGCTTGGGCGATAAGATGGCGCTCTAGTGTCAAGCTAGTCGGCAGTGAAGGAGAGCAGCGCTCTGATTGGTTTAATGGCTCCCGGTCGGAACAATGTATTATCGATCAGGTCGTCTTGACCTTGCGTCGCCATTTTGTTTGAAACAATTGCATGTGATATGAGAGGTGAAATCTGATTGGTCAATAGGAGGGACATAGAATGGACATAACTCGTCATAGCCATTGGTGGCGCTACGGTCAAGTCTAGAAATTCCAGCTTAGTTACGAGTCCTACTACGCATGCGTGTCTTACATGCCAAATCTGGTATAATTTGCAAACTGGTCTTGTGCTTATTTTTAATATGTCGACATTTTACATTCCCAACCGAACATACAAGTCAGCCATGTTCATAAGGTGAAAGGGGTTACCTCCCCTAATATGTTAACCCAAGTGACTCAGCATTTTCATCATCATCATCATCATCATCATCATCATCATCATCATCATCATCATTATACTTATAATAATCACGAAAAATTTACATGTCAAGTAGTCGGATGGCTGGTACGATGTAGGAGTAATGAAATCGAAAAAATATATTCGACAGAGCCATTGCATGCAGTCATGTTATCGGCAATCTCACCATAGGATATGACGAGGAGGACAAAAGGGAGAGTCTTGACGAGCCGCCAGAGGGAGGAGAGATAGTGCTGCCCCTCCGTCTCCTGCATTGCAACCAGCTGCGCCCTACTAGGGGGGACAGGGGGATGGTCTCTGTACCCTGTGTAGCGAGAGGAGAGATTCGTTAATTAGTATTCGTAATGTCTTTAAAAAAATACGTTTGCTTATTACTGACAAAATTGAGTTGGTTACTCGCTCCAAGACGTCTTTGAACAGATTCTGGGAATAACCATTATTCAAATGAACAGTGTGGCGTAAATAGTTGCGACTCGGAGATGACAACTGAATCAATGGTAGCCAGTATTATAAATGAAAAATTCAATTATAACCGACGGTTTCAAATGCTGAAATGTTGACGAACTTCGATAAAACATCTGCAAATGTATAATATTCAACTTCCAGAGTCCTCATCCTATACGTCGCCATGCTGAAAACAGCGTATAGTTTCTCTCATGAGTGAAAACTACGGCACACACATACGTTCGTTAAACAATTCGCTATAACAGTGAGTGAGGGAGGGAGTATGGTTTTACGCCGCTTTTAGCAATATCCCAGCAATATCACGGCGGGGGACACTAGAAATGGGCTTCACACATTGTACCCATGTCGGGAATCGAACCCGGGTCTTCGGCGTGACGAGCGAACGCTTTAACCACCAGGCTACCCGACCGCCCCTCGCTGTAACAGACAACGCTCGATGAGGTCATTTCGGACATGAAAGGTTTATGACCTCTTTGATAAGATTTGTTTATGTGTTTGTTGTTTAACGCCGCACTCAGCAATATTACAGCTATATGACGACGGTCTGTAAATAATCAAGTCTGGACCATCCAATCCAGTGATTAATATCATGAGCATCGATCCACGCAATTGGGATGTGCATCTACCTGACCACCCGATCCAGTTAGTTGCCTCTTACGAAGACCTATTCTACCCCGGATCTTCACGGGTTCTTTGATTGTATACTCCCTGATTGCTCCTCTTGGTCCGTCAGTCAGTATCACCTCACCTCACCTCACCTCACCTCACCTCACCTCACCTCACCTCAACTCAACTCAACTCAACTCAACTCAACTCAAACGTTATGTATGTGTGTGTACCGGGAATCAATAATACATTTATCAAATATGATTCTTGAACGCTAAGACAAAAACGGGAACCATTTTAAAAGCCACGACTAAGTTCACGTAAAAACTACTTTGATACAGTGCTTGCATATTTTTAATGTCGAAAGACCCGGAAACGGGAGGTCCTGACAGGATAAACTGTCAATTGTGAACGTTGTACTAGTCTTGATATCGCACAACACGGATGTCGATCTGCTATGAATGTCCGGGAAGTAAGATGATGACGTCAGGCTATTGTTCTTGTAGTTGAATCTGTGCCAGTAATTCACAGGCCATTCTGAACGTGCATTTCAAAGGATTAAATCTGACGCAGCTATAGGTCATTATGCAAAAGTATAGAGATATTACGGTAATAACGTGACATGTTTTTATAATTCCGAGAAATCACTCGAGTCAGCTGACCTCGAAAGAAGACTCAACTCCCGGAATCGTGGAGGTCGCTCTCCCCGAGAACACTGACAGATACGGAACATACGTGCAGATGAGAGGTGGATTGTGTGGGATAGGCTGTCGTTATTTGATTACACGCTCTGTCCACCGATCCGCTTACATAATGCATCTGCCAAATCTGTTATTTATGGTGGTGTGTGAGAGAGTGTTCGTCTGGAGAGATTGGTTAAGCTGTCACTCATTGAACCTTTTACATAAATCATAAAATGGGCTCTTTTCACACAGTGTGCTGTTGGTACAATTTGGAATCCTACATTTGAACGTATCTCTCAATTCTTAAAACACTTTCAAGGAGAAACTTCCAAACAATAACACGACCAAAATCATGTATATGTATAGACATGTATAGTCTTTATGCAGTCCTTTGTCCTTAACATGTTACACTGCTGAACAAAAGTTTGTTTAATTCAAATGTGAAAGAAGTTGCACGTCATCATACATACATGAATCCCGCTTTGGGATATCGTTGGAAAGAAAACTGAAGGGGTATGCTAACATCCAGAGAAAAATTCCGGGGATCAGTACAAGACACACTGGTGTTCCCTCACAAAGGCTCCCTCCAACATTATACGACAGCATGCCCAGAAGAATCAAGGCAGTATTGCATGCCAAGGGTGGGAGTACTCAGTACTAATACGGCAACTTGATCAACTACTGTCTGAACCCCTATTGCAGTTATATATGTATTCAATCCAGTTGTCTGTTGGAGTGAGTGAGTGAGTTGGGTTTAACACCGCTTTTAACAGTATTCCAGTTATATCACGGCGTGTCAGCTTAATGTGGGAGGAAAGCCCGAATTGATGCAGATCTCAGATGTTTACCACTTCGGTGAAACCCACGAGCACGGGTATGGTGCTGACAAACCTAGAAACATAATCGGGGCGAACCGGGATTCGACCCCACAATCATAGGTTTATGTCGTGCCAGAAACTCCGCAACCCTGCACAGCGAATCGCGGCGCCTTAGACGACTGGGCCACCCGTGCCCCCTATCTTTTGGAAATAAATCATGATTACTGTGTTTAACAAACTTTTGTTCAGCAGCTGTACATAGCAGCTGACAGTACATCCTCGATAATACAGTGTATTATATATCCATTCTCTACGACGAATACCCTGGACCCTAGTTCCTTTAGGAAATGAGGTGACGATCTCTATCTTCACATCGCCGCAACAACACACACGAAAACTATAGATGCATCAACACGGCGGCAAAGACTTTGTTCGTTACATTAAATTTACAAGAAAATAATTTTCCCTAAATGTTTATTCGACACAGGTATTTATCATAACAGAAACATTCTACACTGGAAAATCGAGGATGTAGGCAGTACCACATTGAGTATCAAAGGAATCACGGTGCTAAAGTTAACGTTTGCTCGATGCTCGGGGCAGTTCGCGTGTTCCAAAAGACAACTGAAAATCATCACGGCCCATTATGACAGGGGAGGTCACTCCACCTTCACAAGGGACGTCACTCCACCCAAGCTTCTCACAGCGATAGCCCGTTCGCGGAGCTCTCTTTACAATCGCTGCCACCAGTCGAAACTCCCCACTGTGATAAGTGGTTACAACCATGCTTGGAGTTGAACTCGCAACCGTTATGACCGTTATGTTTACAAACAAGCGATGACTGCGACGCCGAATACTCTTGCCCCAACTAAATTATTTTCTTTGTTTGTCAATTTGAATTTCTCTTTCATTTCAGCTATCATGTAATTGGTATAGTAAGTATGTAATGGGAAATTTGAATCTTATCAAACAAACAAATAGTTAAATTCATCTGCGAAATATGATCGTTCGTAAACCTTTTTTAAAAATAAATATATTGGCATTCCCAGAAAAATAAACAAAAGTATTTACGTTGCTACATTTGGGGTTAGAGGGAAAATTTCAAGATTATTGTAATGGCCGCGTCCACCCTGTTGGCAGCGATGTTACCGAGAGTGTAACGAAGGTGTTACGCGCTGGGAAGGAGCTTGCACTCCACCTTGACAGGGGAAGTCACTCCACCTTGACAGGGGAGGTCACTCCACCCAGACGGAACGAGAACGAGAAGCCCAGGCGTTTTCCATTGACTCATTGTTGGTGACTACGTATAGAGGGCCACCCGTCGGGTCCTTTAGTTGTGTGGGACTTGTTAAGGATTCTGGTAATGGCATGTTAGTGTCCCGTCAGTATTGGCAGCGGGGTACTGCACAGACACAACGCGGCCATTGTTTTGAAAGCAGGATTGGCAAGTAATTATTAAGAACGTCATGGCATGGTGTCAGACAGTATTGGTGTAGTGGTGCTCATACAGTGTTTGTTGAGTGGCGCTAAGCCAATATTGCAATAGTCGTGGTCAGACACTATTCACATAGTGTTTTGGTCAGACAGTATTGATAAAATAGTGTCGCTCGGAACACGACTCCACTACCCGGAACATAACGGTACATCATCATCAGTGTTGCGACGTTCACGTGGAAGGTTATTCCCGTCAGTGCCTCTCGTTTCCGAGACTTCCGACATTAAAAATAGGCAAGCATTGTATCACAGTAATTGCACGTAGTAATTCGTTACACTTGAAACGGTGTTTTATCTTAGCGTTCAAGAATCATATGTCATAACGTGTTTTTGATGACAGATGTACACATTTTCAGAATGTTGAGTGGGTTGGTGAGCGGTTGAGTGTTTTGTTTGTTGTTTAACGCCGCACTCAGCAATATTCAAGCCGTAAGACGGCGGTCTGTAAATAATCGAATCTGGACCAGAAAATCCAGTGATTATTATCATGAGCATCGTTCCACTCAGTTGACATGCCCCCAAGGCTCTCCCCGCCACACTGAAACGCTGCGTCCCCCTCCATACGGTGGCACCGGAAGGAGCATCCTTACCATCTTGTACTCATGAATGGGTTTTGGTGTTAAGCCCGTTTTTTCTGCAAGTACGTGGTCAATGCACATTTGATCGAGTTTGTCTATTTTCCAAAGGCCACAGACACTTGCTTATTTTACTGACTTGTCACAGCCAAACAATTTGATCGATTTACTCAAGTTTTTTGTGTGGATATGCCTCTATGACATCATGTTCACTATTACACAGTTCCTTCTATGTGAGGCTTAGAACTTCTCAATCATCCCTCGTGGGACTCGTTCTCGCAATTTCCTGGACTGTAACTGTCCCGACAAGGCTACTTGATGTGTTTGTTTGTTTGTTGCAATATTCCAGCTATCTGTAAATAATCGAGTCAAGTGATTGATATCATGAGCATCGATCCGAGCAATTGGGATACGATGACATGCAACCTCAGCGAGCCTGACCACCCGATCCCGTTAGTCGCCTCTTACGACAAGCATAGTCGCCTTTTACACCAAGCATCAGTTGCTGAATACCTATTCTACCCCGGATCTTCACGGGTCAAGACTACTCGAGCTGACGGGGCTGACCCAACAGTCACTGGTTCCTTACCTATGAGTATTAATATGAAGATCGCCGTCGTGACCCCTGCGGTGATGTACATCATGAGGCTCATGTCCCTGCCAACCTGGTCCAGGTCGGGGGAGTTGGGCACGAGGACGGGAGGGAGGAGAAACCCGACTGCAGCACCTACCTGGATGAGTGAGTTATATTCCGAGGTTAATAAAATCTTTCTGTTATATCGGCAAATAAATGGAGGATATTTCATGTGTCGAGTAGCCACGAGTGAAAATATCTTCTTTCCCCCGTCACGAGACACATGGAATATCCTATTTATTATATACAATTTGTGTAGTTGTCTACCGAATTTTTTTTTTATTACAAATATAAAACCATGAAACGTAAATTCTTCCTAGCTAACACGCAGGGACATTTAACCTTGTAACTGCGACTTCAAGAGTCGTTCCAAGTTTCCTAAATCTTAGAATACACACTGGTCAAGTAATAAAAATGGCGATTTGCGAAACGAACTGTCTCGATTGAGTTAAATGAGAAAATTGCAGTCTACAACGAAACATTTTCAAGAGAATAGCAAACGGCAAGAGCGATATTACCCCATAAATGTAAAACCGTCATTATTTGGGGGCGGTCGGGTAGCCTAGTGGTTAAAGCGTTCGCTCGTCAGGTCCAAGACCCGGGTTCGATTCCCGACATAGGTACAATGTGTGAAGCCCATTTCTGGTGTCCCCCGCCGTGATTTTGCTTGAATATTGCTAAAAGCGGCGTAAAACCACACTCACCCACTCACTCATTCATTATTTTGCCTTCTCAATGTTGAACAAACGTAAACAAGAAGTCAAGAGTTTGTGTACGGGAGACAGTTTGCGGGGAGATAACTCTTGTATGACATTAATTCCGTCAAAGTGTCAAAGTCTTCACTGCAGTGAAATATCAAGTAGTAGTAGTAGTAGTAGTAGTAGTAGAAGTAGTAATAGGATTTACGGCGGGTTTTTTTTGCTCCATTTGCGCCCAACGCATCACTTTGGTATATACTGCTGATTAGGGCTCGCTTGTTTAGCCTTGTAGTTAAAGCGTTCGCTCGTCATGCCGAAGACCCAGGTTCGATTCCCCACATGGGTACAATGCATGAAGCCCACTTCTAGTGTCTCCCGCCCTGATTTTGCTGGAATAGTGCGAAAAATGGCGCAAAACTATACTCACTCATTCACTGCTGAATAGAGGGGTAATATGGACAATAATACATGGAAATATTTTGATTTTAATTGTAGTTTATAAATTGAGTTATCTTACCTGATTTCCAAAGACGCCTAAAGATGTCGCTGTCGAGACTTCATCCGGGCCAAACCAGGCAGCCGCTAGAGGCGCTGGCATGCCCAGGACCCATATCTGTGCCACTGAGCAGATTGTCTGAGCAAACATGAGGACGCCAAATCGGTCAGGGCTGACGCTACCACACTTCACCCACGCTCCCACAGCGTTGAGGAACGACCCAACAACGTTACACACCCTCAGACCCTTACTGTCCATCAGCCACGTGGCTGGGAAGATTAGAGGCACGTAGGCCAGCATGTAGACCATAGACAACCAATCGACAGCGGTCTCCTGCTGTAGCGTGTCCCCTGGGAGGCTGGTGTTGTAGTAGCGCAAGATGACGTTGGCGATGATGTTGAGGTGGATCCATTGGAAGGAGTTGCTGAAGGAGTAGAGACAGAAGAGCCCCAGCATCAGCCAACGCTTCTTGAATACCCGCGTCTCTCCATACTCTGCACCAGCCTCAGTTGACCCTTCTGGAGGGGGCGTGATCGGCTGCTTTGATTCTTCGGGCCCACCATCGTTCTTCATCTGTAGTTCGGTGTCGCCGCTCGTATCTACTGGATCATAAAAAGAGGATACCATAATACAAAGGATCTTGAAAGTGACAAGTTTAGAAGTTTAGATGTTGCAATTGGCCTGACAGGACGACATACATCTACATTTGTTTGCTGTTCACTCAGCAATATTCCACCTATATGACGGTCCGTACATAATTAAGTATGGACCAGACAATCCAGTGACTGATATCATGAGCATCGATTTACCCAATTAGGAAACGATGACATGCATCAACCCAGTCAAAGAGTCTGAGCTACCGATCCCGTTAGTCGATCTATCTTACGACAAGCATACAACGAAACATGGGCTGCTGAAGACCACTTCTAACCCGGAGGGATTCAGCTACGTGGATACACTTCTGCTACTATGGCGTTTCAGCGGTCCTTGGACCGCCTCCGTGGCCTAGTGGAAGAAAGTCCGGGGTTCGATTCCCGGACGCGTCATACCAAAAGACGTTAAAAGATGGTACTTGTTGTTACCCTGTCTGACGTTCGGCATAAAGGGGCTTAAGTGAGTGATTGATTTTGGTTTAAGGCCGCTTTTAACAGTATTACAGTTATATCACCGCGTGTCAGCTTAATGTGGGAGGAAAGCCCCAAGCAGGTCTCAGACGGTTACCACTTCGGTGTAACCCACGAGCACGGGTATGGTGCTGACAAACCTAGAAACATAATTGGGGCGAACCGGGATTCGAACCCACAATCATAGGTTTCTTGTGTGCCCAAGGGACGCAACTATGCAAGCGAATCGCGTCGCCTCAGACGACTGGGGCACCTGTGGCCCCTTTAAGGGGCTAAAACAAGGACTGGTCGGCTCGGTGTAAGTATACAGTGTGCGAGTGGGGTATTCATTTTAAACTGCGGCATGGTACCTCAGTGAGCTAGCACTATAAATCTGTATCAGTCCGGACTAGTACAAGCAGCCACACACACACGCACGTACACGTCGCTATATAAGTGGAATAATCCTCGTTAAACCCTATTTCACCTCATCTCTCGCTTCTCTGGTTATTGCCAGAATATTGACTAGAAAGATAAAACCAGTCACAACACAGTAAGTCAATCATCAAATTACCAGTAGCACACACGAAACATGGCCATGCAACAGATCCAGTCATCGGTCAGCATACAGCCGGTCAGCATCTCAAGCGTGTTTCCAACTACACGAACTAACCGATACAACGAACTTATATATTGGTCCCGGTCATGTGTTGTATATACAGTAAACTACGGTTATAACGAACACGCTTATCACGAACTGACGGATATAACGAACTTACTTTTTTGGTCCAATATTTTTTTGGTTATGCTGTATATATGCTTATAACGAACTACGGTTATAACGAACTAAAATTAGTAGTCCCTTTGAGTTCGTTATAACCGTACTTTACTGTATGTTGTATATATGCTTATAACGATCTATGGTTATTGCGAACTAAAATTAGTGGTCCCTTTGAGTTCGTTATAACCGTAGTTTACTGTACTGATAACCAATATGGCTGCAACGGCGATATACATTTGCCAATCAACACGTGTCGATCATTACCTGATGAATTTATGAAGTTATTAACAGTTATATAAGTTCTTATTTCATATATTTGTCTTCAATCATCTCGTATAAGGAAGTACATGAAGACTTAACTACTAGTATTCACGCTCCAGAATTTCTTCAATATTATCTCGAGTACTGCAAGGTTTACCTGCATTCTTGTGGGCGATGTCGTGATTCTGTAAATAAAAACAAGTGGGCATTTAGTCAGTTTGTTTGTTTGTTGTTTAACGCCGCACTTAGCAATATTCCAGCTATATGACGGCGGTCTGTAAAAAATCGAGTCTGGACCACACAATCCAGTTAATGACATCATGAGCATCGATCCACGCAATTGGGATACGATGACCTGCATCAACCAAGTCAGCGAGCCTGACCACCCGATCCCGTTAGTCGCCTCTTACGACAAGCAGACGCTTTTGTTATATTTCAGAAACATTTCCAAATCATCTACACAACAGGCATCCTACTCATTCACTGTTACAGGAACAACCCTACACGGTGATGCTCAAGTAACCCTCGCTGGTATACAGCATACAAACTGTATGACCTCTAAGTATACGGGGTCAGTCTGCTTAATGCAACGCAGTTCCCGGGACAGCGATGGCAGCGAATAAGACGCAAAGCAACCAATTCAAAATATAAAGACGTTCAGATAATGTATCCCTGGAATTATGGTTAAAACGTATCCCGTGAAGCATGTCATATCATCAATTATGTCCGTTGACCTCTCAAGCTCAGTGTCCTTAGCCAATCGCTGTGTACCGTGTCTCCGGATCCGGAGGTAGAGGGTTATTATTCCGCCCGATTATGACCCCTTGGCCTACTTGCACAAAGCGATCTTAGCGCTAAGATGATCGTAACTCCCATACTTTGACATCGGCTTTCAATAGTCGTAGCGCTAAGATCGCTTTGTGCAAGTGGACCCTGGTCCCATTAGGCTTTCCTCTGTGTCAAAGCCATCACATGACTTTGTCGCTAGGCATCAATCATCACTACTTACTGCTATCGCGCACTCGGTGGAGGCAAAGGCCAAATACTCGCTGCCAAGTGTCCAGACACTCGCTGCCCGTTACCTCGGGCATGTGGGACAGTGACTACACGAGACTCATCAACAATAAACATATTCAGTGTGTCAGCTGGTCCTACATCGTTATCAGACGTGTTCAAAGTACGTTGAACGTTACTGAATCAATAATAATATATAGATATGAATAATATGCTACAGTTAACTCAGATGCCGTGACATTATTACTGCGGTGCGCAGTATCTAATAAAGTACCGGGCGAAGCTATAATATGTTCATTAAGTGTATTGTGATGCAGAAAAATACTATGGAAACCTAGAAGGGACATCGTCGCGTTGTCTCGTTGTCGCGCATTTTACACATTTTTATGGGGCGACAATGCGACAACGCCACCTATTTCTTTTACCTTGAAAAATGTCGCGTTGTCGCATTGTGGCCCTTTGGTAAAATAAACAAAATGTATTCAAAGCGCGTCAATGCGACAAATGGCCTAAAATGTCGCATTGTCGCACTCTGTTTATTTTGGCACGTGCATGTTTTTGAAATAACGACAACGCGACAATGTCCCTTCTAGGATTTCATATATAACAGTGGTGTGTTAAGGTTGGGAGAAATGAGAATTGTTGATTTGATGGGCCGTTTTTTGTTTTATAATTATTTTTGTTTATGATGTTTTGTGTCGTTTTGTGTTAAATTTGGTTTTCCTTTGTGGTTGATTTTTTCATTGATTTTTATGGGCTGATGTTAACTGAATTTTGGAGGTGTTGGAGCTTGGTTCAAGGGTATGGGGATGGTGGTGACCTGGCGTTGACTGGACCATGGCTGACGGGGGCTGTGGGCTGCAATATGTGGTTGTTTTGGTTTTGATTCCTATTTGAGGTAAGACTGAGTCAAGGAGAAACTTAAAATTAGGTCACAAGATCCTGACTCGTCCAAGGGACGCAACTCGACAAAGCCTTGTAAAACAGGGTGACCTGTGCTGCAGTTATAGAGGGCGAGATAATGTTAGGAGAACTCCACCCTGTGTTCATGTATACTATCTTGTATGTTGAGGTGTTATGTTTACCCCTGACACGGTACATAGAGTGCAAACATACCTAGTGCAAACATCAACCTTAGTCAGCTCCTTGTCAAGCGCGGAGGTATATGTGTACGCAAGGAAGACATATTACACGGAGCCATGGCTTCTCCCAGTGTTTACGTGTATCAAATAACGTGTAAGTCCACAGCGACTTTACAGAAAACCTCACAGCTCGATTCTGTAACAAGAGATTTTGAACCTTAAACTCTATGCCGAAAGACAAAGAAAAGCATCAATAAGAATCACGATCTCATCTGTGTACTGTACGTGTCAAGTGATTGTAGGACTACCGAGACTGCAGAATGGCTCAATACTCGATTATAAGAGTGTGTTCCTCAAATTCCAGGCCGACGGACGAAGGAAAGTATCTGTTTCAATAAGAGTAAGTGAGTATGGTTTTACGCCGCTTTTAGCACTATTCCAGCAATATCACGGCGGGGGACACCAGAAATGGGCTTCACACATTGTACCCATGTCGGGAATCGAACCCGGATCTTCGGCGTGACGAGCGAACGCTTAACCACTAGGCTACCCGACCGCCCCGTTTCAATAAGAAGCATTACGACCATTACGTGACACTGAAACCCTAATATTAAAAAGATTAAAACATATGAATGAACTATGACAACACGGTGTCCTTTATTCCTTCTGCAAATGATAATGCCCTGAAAAATTGCGTTACTATAAGGGTAACGCTATTTTTCAGGGCATTATCATTTGCAGAAGCCCGAGGTCTTCCATTAAGTGCCGGACGAAGAAGGGCAGTTGCAAAGACCGAGGGCTTCTGCAAATGATAATGCCCTGAAAAATTGCGTTACTATAAGGGTAACGCTATTTTTCAGGGCATTATCATTTGCAGAAGCCCGAGGTCTTCCATTAAGTGCCGGACGAAGGAGGGCAGTTGCAAAGACCTCGGGCTTCTGCAAATGATAATGCCCTGAAAAATAGCGTTACTATAAGGGTAACGCTATTTTTCAGGGCATTTTCATTTGCAGAAGCCCGAGGTCTTCCATTAAGTGTCGGACGAAGGAGGGCAGTTGCAAAGACCGAGGGCTTCTGCAAATGATAATGCCCTGAAAAATTGCGTTACTATAAGGGTAACGCTATTTTTCAGGGCATTATCATTTGCAGAAGCCCGAGGTCTTCGATTAAGTGCCGGACGAAGGAGGGCAGTTGCAAAGACCGAGGGCTTCTGCAAATGATAATGCCCTGAAAAATAGCGTTTCCGTAATTATAGCAGAAAATGGATGGAATTTGTTATCAGATAAAGAGAAACAACAATATCGGTTTGGAATCATTTACTGCAGTCAACACGAACGTCACTGACCCACTTTTACAAATATGGAAACGTCATAGAAAAAACAAGAGGACGTCACCTATCCCTACCCTATGACGTCACCTTACAACAGGCGTGATAATGGCCCGGCGTCAAGCAATATGAGGGCATTATCAAGTTACCGTGGCCCGCTCATTTCTGATAACGTGAGGGCGGTTTAATGACAATTCTATCCATTTTTGCTATAACATAAGGGTAACGCTATTTTTCAGTGCATTATCATTTACAGAAGCCCGAGGTCTTCCATTTACTTAAATGATAAAGCCCTGAAAAATAGCGTTACCCTTATATTATAGCTAAAATGGATAGAATTTGTTGTCAAATAAAAAAATAATATACAATATCGATTTTGAAACATTTAGTGCAATCAACACGAGTTTCACAGACCCCCCTTTACAAATATGGAATGATAACATTTCTGATAACAGGCGGGCGGTTTAATAATAATTCTATCCATTTTAGCTATAATATGTGGTAACGTGTAATTCCATGGAATCGAATCGACGCCATGTGTGTACGACGTATATTGTTTGTTTAGCGTGGATGCTATAAACTTGTGTCCACTGAGCGTATCATCTGCTGTATTGAAGAGTCTCTTGGCTGTAAATCTACATGTTATGACTAACTAGCGAAGCACTTATAGTTTATAACCACTTAAAGTTAAAAGCCTCTGAACATAAATACAAGAGACAAAACCCTTTCCATAATCATAAGAAATCTCTTCTAAAAGTGTCCGTTGTCCGGTTCCGACTATACCAGGAGCATGTGTGAACTTCAACTTAATGTTAACATCAAACTAATTAATCACACTTATTGCGTGCGCGTTTTTATTTTGTCCATGGCGTCGTGGAAGTTGTATAATGAGATATGTAACCGTTGACATAGAAACACAATATCAATAAAAAAAGGTCAACTACATCGGTCAAAGGAGAAATAGTATGTGCGTCTGTTGACTTTCAATATCTTTTAATGCCACACGGTGCTTTGGAAAACAATGGTTGTATGATAACACTGACATCTGTATCATCCACAATATATGGTTGTGTGACAACACACTGGCATCTGGCATCTGCATCGTGTACAATAAATTGTTATGCCAAAGCACTTAGATCTGCTTCTAAATCGTAGGCAATAGTTTCAGAAAGGCTGCTGTGTGGCGTTGTCTTGTGGCAGAACGTTACACAACGTTGTTGTGTTGCGTTATAGGGCAAAGTTGTCATGTTGTGTTGTGTTATAGGGCAAAGTTGTCATGTTGTATTACGTTAAGGTCAAAGTTGTCATGTTGTGTTGGGTTATAGGGAAACGTCGTCATGTTGTGTTACGTTATAGGGAAACGTCGTCATGCTGTGTTGCGTTATAGGAAAATGCCGTCATGTTGTGCTGCGTTATAGGGAAACGTCGTCATGCTGTGTTGCGTTACAGGGAAACGTCGTCACGTTGTTTTGGGTTATAGGGAAACATCGTCATGTTTTGTTACGCTATAGGGAAACGTCGTCATGCTGTGTTGCGTTATAAGGAAACGTCGTCATGCTGTGTTGCGTTATAGGGAAACGTCATGTTGTGTTGCGTTGTAGGGAAACATTGTCATGTTATGTTGCGTTATAGGGTAACGTTGCATTATAGGGTAACGTTGTCATGTGGTGTTGCGTAATGAGGAAACGTCGTCATGCTGTGTTGCGTTATAGGGTAACGTCATCATGTTGTGTTGCGTTGTAGGGAAACATTGTCATGTTATGTTGCGTTATAGGGAAACGTTGTGATGTTGTGGTGCGTTATAGGGTAACGTTGCATTATAGGGAAATGTTGTCATGTGGTATTGCGTAATGAGCTGTCGTCATGTTGTGGTGTGTTATAGGGCAACGTTGTCATGCTGTGTTGTGTTATAGGACACGACGTCGAGGCATAATGGCACACGCGCAATCAATCCCCATTCGGCCTTACTGGGGTCTATTCTAGTCCGACTCAGGGCGAACATCCTAGTGATCAATGTTTACAGTATGGGCTTTGTCTAGTTGGTTTGTTTCGGGGAGAGTTACACCTGGTGTCATCCCTGATTTTCAGTTATCCATTCATATAATTCTTACCCCTAGACTGCCTTTACGCCCACTCGAATCTGTTTCGGCGGATAATTGAGGCTGGTGTTCACGTTCTATATATATATTGTATATGTACGTCGAAGGTACAGTCGGCCGGTGTAGAATACGGACATGGTTTTGTCGGACAGAACGACGAGACGGACATGGCCTACTTTCTACAAAACAATGCATTGTTGGTTATAGAGGACATGTATGGACGAAGTGATGAGCCCCTCAAATCTTTGGTTCATAGTTAGGCCCTTTCTCACTGTACTGATCAATAAAATGAAAGGAAGAGCTCATTTTCCCACTATGTATAACATATAATATGACGAAAATGATAACCCAATTAACTATAGAGATATCTCACCAATTGACTCATTCGCCAAAATATTACTCTCCATTTGGAATAAGAGGTTGCAAACCTGGTGTGAAGAGAAAATGTATCATTAGTGGGTCAAAGGCTATTATAGGGCCAACTACCCTCCGACAGATGATATATCTACAGTACAGTAGTTTATAACGAATACGCTTATAACAAACTGACGGATATAACGTACTGCGATTTTCTTTTGTCCCGGGCATCCCGGGTAAATATCCTGTTGTATGCTTATAATGAA